AGTCTTCCCACCTCAGCTTCCTGAGTAGCTAGGACTACAAGCGCATGCCACCATGCCTGGCTAATTCTTTTATTTTTTTGTAGAGATGGGAGTCTTGCTATGTTACCTGGGCTGGCCTTGATCTGCTGAGGAGTTTGCATTTCTGAGCTCAAATGATCCTCCCAAAGTGTTGAGATTGCAGGCATGAAGCACCACACCTAGCTCCAGTCTTTTTCTGTTTAAACTTTCAAAAATGATAATATAAATCCTGCTGCAATGGCGCGTGCATGTAGTCCCAGCTACTAGAGAGGCTGAGGCAGGAGGATCACTTGACCGTTTGAAACAACCTTTGTGCTCCTAATCAGTCACCACCCCCTTCCAACCTCTATCTGAACTCTACTGAAATTTATTTATTTATTTTAATTAAAACAATTTTTTCCTTTTCTGAGACAGAGTCCGGCTCTGTCACCCAGACTAGAGTGCAGTGGGGCAATCTCAGCTTACTGCAACCACCGCCTCCAGGTTCAAGTGATTCTCTTGCCTCAGCCTCCCAAGTAGCTGAGATTACAGGCACATGTCACCCCACGCTAAGTTTTGTATTTTTAGTAGAGATGGGATTTTGCCATGTTGAACAGGCTGGTCTTGAACTCTTGAGGTCAAGCAATCTGCCCGCTTCTACCTCCCAAAGTCCTGGGATTAAGGCATGAGCCACTGCACCTAGCCCTCTCTACTGAATTTAAGGTAATTTCCTTCCTTCTTCCTCCCTTCCCTCTCCCCTTCCCTCCCTGTCTCCCCTCCCCCTCCTCCTTCCCCTCCCCCTCTCCGCCTTCCCCCTCCTCCTCCCTCCCCTCCCCCTCCTCCTTCCCCTCCCCTTTCCCTCCCCCCCTTCCCATCTCCCTTCCCCCCTTCTCTCCGTCTCCCCCCTCCCCCTCCCCTCTTCCTCCCCCTCCCTTCCCTCTCCCCTTTCCCCTTCCCCCTTCCCCTCCCCTCTCCTCCTTCCCCTCCGTCTTCCCCTCTCCTTCGCCTCCCCTCCTCTTCTGTTCCCCTCCCCTCCCTCCCCCTTCCCTCCTGCTTCCCCCCCTTCCCCCCTCCTCCCCTCCCCTCCCTTTCCCTTCCTCCCCACCTCCATCCCTCCCTCTCTCTCCCTCCCTCCTCCTCCCTTTATTTTCCTCTCTCTTTCTAAAATGGTTTTGCCACTCCTTTCCCACGCTTCTGGGGACAGTAAGTGGGGGCTTGCAGAATCAGGCAGGATCCATGTGGCCACCTGCTACCGGTCTAGGCTGTGAGAGGAGCTGTGGAAATTCTGCTGCTGCCACAGGAGGGAGGAAGAGGAGGGAAAGGCTGGAGAAACTGGCCAGGTTCCTTGGGCTGTCCTGAAGAGCTGGCCCAGAAACTTGGCAGTTTTGCAGAGAGGTTCCAGGGGAAGATTCAGCCCCTCCGAGGCTGCACAACTGGAAGCTGTTGCCTTGAGTTTAGAGCAAGGGGCCAGGCTGGGGAGACAGCTTGTATGCTTTTGAGACGGTATCAGTTCTATCTGGGCTAGGAAACTTCAGGGCTGACCAACTGCCACATGTGGCCAGGGCATTTTTAGCAGGCCTGCCTCCTATTTTCACCTCATAGAACTCTGGAGCATTGATAATGCCAATCTTTAAATTATGTTAGACCAGGCCTGTGGTGGCTCATACTTGTAATTTTAGCACTTTGGGAGGCTGAAGCAGGCAGATTGCTTGAGCCCAGGAGTTTGAGACCAGCCTGGGTAACATGGTGAAACTCTGTCTATCCAAAAAAATACAAAACTTAACAAAACTTAGGCATGGTGGCACACACCTGTAGTCCCAGCTACTTGGAAGGCTGAGGCAGGAGGATTGTTTGAGCCCAGGAGGCCAAGGCTGCAGTGAGCCGTGATCATGTCACTTGCACTCAAGCCTGGGTGACAGAGTGAGACTGTGTCTCAAGAAACAAACAAATAATTATGTATGCCACTTTGCTTTTCTGTAAAAGGTTTGATATTTGCTTTGCTTTTGCTTTCATGGTGCTCGTTTGGATAAGAACTTTTCTTTCTAATAGTGATTGCTAACTGTAAACTACATATGATACTGTGGGAGTAGGCTACAGGGCCTGAAAGAAGCAGCGGGGTGATGGAGAGTCTACAGCCAAGGGCCTTGGTCTGACCCCCACCCTCACCTCATCCCAACCACCCACCCCACCACAGTCATTCTCTGGTGGCCAGAAAGTTGAATTTGTAAACCTCACATCCAGAGTAGTTTGAAGAAGCAGATTTAAGGAGCCCTAGTGTGCTAGTTGCTATGGGGGATAAGAGAGAGAGAGGTGGAACTGGTTATGCCCTTGAGGAATTTCCATTCTAGAAATGAAGACAAGACTTTCATACAAATACACATAAGTGCTAAGAGTAGGATGTAGATACATTTTTCTGATCACCAGCGCAACACAGGATTATTAAAACTAAATGCAAACATACAGCATAGAAAGTCCACAAGTGAATGTTCCCCACACTCTAACTCTCCCCACAAGATAACCCTTGTTAACTATTAAATATTTGAGGAGTTGGGAATATTAAATCAAATACATTAAATATTTGAGCTAGACCCTAAAGTCAAATCTAGAGAGGCAGGCTGATGGGAAGAAGGTAGACAGACAGAGGATCCAGTCTCCTGCTCCAGGTGGAGCTTCCCAAACAATTGGTGAGCCAAATTCTGCTTGGACACCTTGGTGACAAGGGAGCAAAATGCCAAATAGGAATTAGTCTGCAGGAATCACCCACCTGTGCCTTACATGCTACCCGGTGTGTTGGGTACCTTATAGGTGTTATTGAATTAATCCTCATCACTTTATAACACATCTTTATTCTTATTTTACAAATAGGGATACTAAAGCTCGGAAGTTTCTTGCCAATGTCAAATAGTTAGCAGTATGTGGTAGAAACTTCTGCCATTTACTTGCTATGTGATCTTGGCAAATTATTTAATCTCGTGGCTCAATTTCCTCCTCTCTAAAATTGGGTGATAATAGTACCTAGTTTATTAAGGGAGTTTTTAAGATTAATGAGTTAGTCCATATTAGCTCAGTAGCATAGTATCAGGTACATAGTATGCACTCGGTAAGCATTCGCTACTGTCTGTCTATCTATCTGTCTATTTACTGAAACAGTCTTGACACCAGCACCCAGGCTAGAGCACAGTGGCCTGATCTTTGCTCATCCTCAGTTCAAGCAATTCTCCCATCTTAGTCCCCTGAGTAGCTGGAACTTTGACACTAGAAAAGATACTAATTCGTTTCTAAATCATGAAGTTTTACTGATTATCTTTTATGTAAAACACTTTAGCCTATATGTTTTATATATATATATATGGTGAAACTCTGCCTGTACAAAAAAATAAAAAACTTAACTGGGCATGGTGGCACGCACCAATGATTGTGACCTCTATAGTATACCCTCTAGTGGAAACAGACAAGGACAACTCTGAGCCAGGTGTGGTGGTTCACACCTGTAATCTCAGGGCTTTGGGAGAAGCATAGAATTTTTAGAGAAGAATTTAAAATAGTGGTATGCCTAGGCAACATATTGAGACCCTGTCTCTACAAAAAACAAATTAGCCAGGCGTGGTAGCACACACCTGTACTCCCACTACTTGGAAGGCTGAGGCAGGTGAATCACTTGATCCCAGAAGTTTGAGGTTAGAGTGAGCTATGATCTCACCACTGCATTCCAGCATGGGTGACAAAGTGAGACCCTGTGTCTAAACAACAACAACAACAACAACAACAAAAGTGCCTGGCTAATTTGTGTGTGTGTGTGTGTGTGTATTTTTCAGTAGAGGCAGTGTTTTGTCATGTTGCCCAGGCTGGTATCAAACTCCGGGGCTCAAACCCTCTGCCTGCCTCAGCCTCCCAATTGCTGGGATTACAGGTGTGAGCCACTGTGCCCTGACAGCTACTATTATTATACTCTTTTCTCTCTTGTTCTGACATCCTCATCATCTCCTCAGTTTAATTCTGCATATCATCCGTTACACTTTCCTCCCCTGGACAGTTCCTCTCGGCTTCCTATCAGTTCTTTATCCTGTCTCCACACTGTCTCTCACTGCCTCTTCTACCTGGGTTCAGGCGATATTCCCACCTCAGCCTCCTGAGTAGCTGCAACTAATAGGTGCGGGCCAGTACACATGGCTGACTTTTTATTCATGAAATTTTTTGTAGAGATGGGATCTCCCTATGTTACCCAGGCTGGTCTCAAACTCTTGGGCTCTAGTGATCCAAAGTGCTGGGATTACAGGTGTAAGCCATTGTGGGAAGCCCCCTTTCCATTCTTTCTTACCTTACTGTCTTGTGGGCCCTCATTACCTGTCTCCTGTCTGTGCAGCCTCCTGACTCACCTCATTGCTGCTAGTCTCATTCAGGTATATACAGAATAAACTTGGGGCACAGTTTTTGTCATACCACAGCTCTATGTTAATAACAGACAACAAGTAAACTTCCAAATCTTTGATTCCTTGGTTTGAGGTTCAAGATTCTTCCAGCTCTCTGACCCTACCTCACCCTCCAAGCCTTTTTTCCCACTGCTTCTATACCTCCTCTCTGCTGTCTCTTTCTCCCACACCTCTCTTTCCATCTGGGGAAATGCTACCTGTGTGTTTCAAGGTCTAAATTAAAATGCCACTTCGTTATCTTAATCCTTCCCTACCCGAAACTGGTTAGAATTTTTCTTTACAGGTTTTGTGGAACTTAGTACACCAGTTTGAAATGTAACATTCAAGTCACATTTCTCATCTCCCATGGAATTACAACCTACCTCAGTGCAGATGCTCAGTTTAATTCATCTTTGTATACTTCCTACAGTTTCCTATAGGAGTGCCTTGCACATAGTAGGTGCTCAGTAAATGTTTGTGGCATAAGATAAGGGGGTGATTGTTGACTATCTGGTGGGCTTCCCTTTCACCCTTGGTGAAAGTCACTATTCAGTGGGGGGAAATGCTGTGGTTTTAAGAGTCAGACATCTTTTGTTTGTAGCCGTGTAGGAGAGGCAGAGTCTACAAGTCCCAGTGCCTGCTTCTGTTAATGGCTGCAGCCAGTGCCTGGTGTACTCGGTCTCGTGCCTTAGCTCCTCAGCCCCTCCCCACAAATGCTCAGCGGAACAGGGGATTAGGTTCTGGCAGCACAGCTGGGATTTTGGCGGCCATTCCACAGCTGACAATAGCACGCAGCACAGGACAGCGCAGGCCTGTACTCCAGGGCCAGAATCTGCCTGGGCTTCTTGTTTGGGTGGCAGAGGGGGAGGAGCGGGCACAGCGCGGCATCCTGGCCTTGCCACACAGAAGGTATGGGCTGGAGAGACTCCCTCGGGGAATGGACTTAGGGGGTGGCCGTGTCCCAGAGCAGGGCAGGCGGTACCCATGGAAGGAGGCAAGGTGCTTTGTGTGTGAGCGGCATGGGTGTGCTTAAAGACACAGCCTGCCCTGGGGCCGGCAGGAAGCTGCTTCTGATCAAAGGGCCTGCATGTTGCTTGTTCTTCAAAGCCTCTGTTCCCAGGTCTTCCTCCCTGCCCTGCTGTCCGACAGACAGGGGCTGATCTAATCATCAGGACAGCCCTTGGCCTACCCTTCCATTGCTGTCCAGAGACATGGACAGATTATTACTGCTGCCGTAAACTCTGGGTGGAGGGGGAGTGTCCAGTTGATTCCAGGTTTGTCAGGCAGGCCACTGTGAAATGTTTTTTATGTGTTTATGCCCCAGTTTGCCTTGGCTCTTGCTGCTGTAGCAGTTCAGTAATTTTGCCTGCCTGCTTGTGCCTTCACCCCCAACCCACCACCCCCATTCGCCCTGTTTTTCTTGTTCGTGGACCAAGCCTCCAGCCTTCCCCTTTGCAGCCCCTCCTCTCCAGTGTGTCCCCTCCCTCTGGGCCCCACCCCCACTGAGAGTCCCCTGCTTGCTGTCGCTCCCAGATCAGGGAAGCTTGCTGTGCCTTTAAAGAAAGCAGACTCCTGGCTGTGACGCACTTCTGGCTGTCAGCCAGGAAGATTGCTCCTGCCAGGCAGACTGAGAAGAAAACCAACAACTTTTCTTTTGTGTGTGGGGTTACTTTCCACTGGCCCCCCCTTCCTCCTCTCCTTTCAAGATTTAAATGCTAATGGCGGATTAAAACCTGTAGATTCGTTTGGCTTTAGGAATCTGGTAAGGACCCCCCCCCCCGACTTTTTCTCCCTCACTCTTTCTCTGGGTTTTTGTTCAAACATGGACGAGGGGGTGGGGTGGATTCTCCCCCCTCACCTCCCTTTCCTGCACCATCCTTAAAGGGGAGGGAGAGAAGAGGGAGAGCAAGTAAACATACTCAGAAACAGGCGCTGTGGAGCAGAGCTTGCCAACATCCGGGAGTTGGCGCCTTTCAGAGCAAAGGGTTGCTTTCTTTCCCCCTTGCGTAGATGTCAGCGTGTTTTTGTTCAGAGAAGGAAAGCGTGTGCGCCTGCACATTGAGCTGTAGAGACAGCTCAGGAGAGAGCGTCTCCATTTCTGCATGAGGCCCTGGGTGTGTGCGCGGTGGTGGGCGGTGAAAACAGGTTCATTTTGTCAGCTGGTAGGGACCAGGATGTGTGAATATAGCGGTGGGGGCCTGGGTGAGAGTGTGTGTGGGTTTATGTGTGTATGTACGCGCCCCAGTACAATACCTGGCTGCAGGCCTGGTTCCTGATTGCAGTGCTTTTGCCGTCTTCTTGATCTGGACCTTCCAGAGCATGGGGAGAAGGGGCAGATATCAGTAAGCCACTTTTGAAGAAACCAGAGAATCTTGGATTCCCCTGCAATCCCTCCCTTGTTCCCCTCCATGGCCTTCGCGTTCTGGGCCAAACTCTGGGCTACAAAGATGGAGTGGTCTGTGTGAAGAGGAGGAGGCCTGAGCTCAAGTTAGTCCCTTTAGAAGGACCAAACTGGTTTGCCCCTGACCTCAAGAAATTCTTTGGATTTGGACCAGACAGTCTACCTAGGACTTCCCAGGAATTGAAAAAGATTGTTTTTCTCTGTATGGCTTCTTTTGGACCCGCTGGTCCTTTGGCCTTTTACCTTCTCAGAGGCAGGAGATGTACCAGCAAAGTATTTCCTATGCTGTTTTTATAGCTTATTAGCCTAGGGCAAGGTGGCTTGGCCCCTCTTGGGTAACCTGCCAGGTGAGGTCTGGGTGTTTGCTTACATGTGCCTCCTTGACCTATCCATTCCAGAGTTGGAGGAGAAGGAGCCCCAAGATCAGGGTTTTTACTCTTTGGATGTGGGTGTTTCTCAGATGGAGAGTATCTTTCTAAGAAAGGGGTATAGAACATGGAATTCTTACGGCTACAGGCAGGCGGGGTCTCAGGGTAAGTGATGGTAAATTTTGCAAGTGAGCACTGGCGCACAGATGGGGCAGCCATTTCCTTTGTGAGCTGTGAGGCTCTAGGCCTTTGGAACTATCAGGTGAAGGGGGTGGGGTTCTGGGAAGGACCCTTTGAGGTGGGAGCTTCTGTGGGCTTTGGTGTCTGAAATTCTGGGAGTGGGAGTTAGCACTAAGAGAATGAGGCTTCAGCAGAAGCAAGGGCTCATGAGCTGAGAGATCAGTATAGTTTAGCAACTCTCTGGGACCAAAGGTTACTTTGGTGTTATCTCGAGGTAGGGCTGGTGTTCCCGGGATGGGCAATAAGTGGCTAAGAGGCAATCTCAAAGGAGCTGACACCCAGGCCAGGGGCCGGGTGAGGAGAGCGTTGCTGCTCTAGCTCAGATCCTCTGCTCCTTTGGCCTATCACTTGTTTTGTACTTAAAACTGAAGCTTTTGCAGAACAGACCCCAGAACTCAGCAACTTGACCCTCTGGTCCTGCTTCTTGCATCTGAGCAGGTGGTTTACATTAGCTTCAGCCCTGGTAAGAAACCCTAGCTAGGCTTTAACTCTTTAAGATCCAGAGAGGGTACAGGCGAAATGGTTGTGTGTCTCTTTAGTATCACTTTCCTTATCTTGATACTTCTTTTTTGGAAACATAGAGGGGTTACTGTAAATGTGGGAGTTGGTCCTGATGTGGGGGAACTGCATTATGTCAGTTTGGGAAATGTCAAAAGGATGCAGGGCCTTACGTTTATAAGGCAACTGCTTCATGTCCTTGGTTATTTCTTGAGACCAGGGAAAAGAGAGGGTGCCTTACCAGCTCTGTGAGGCTCTGTTTGGATTCTGGGGATATTTCTCAGAGAACCACATAGATGGGAGCTCTGAAGGTGCCCTCAGAGGGCCTGGCCTGCATTCTGGGGTTTTGTTTCTTTGTTTATTGAACGAGGGTTTTGGGGGTGCCTGCCTGATCCAGCTGGGGTGGATCTCAGCAGATCCTTCTGTGAAATGGTTCCAGGCTACAATCGCAAGGATCTGTTTTTCCGTCACCATCACTCAGTGTACTGGGTGGGGCTTGCCTCAGATTTCAGGGGGAGGGTGGGGAGGATGGTACTCTGGCTGGGAGCCCTTGTGTTCCCAGCCAAAGCCTGCTTAAAGCTATAGTCCCAATATCGAAGACTTAGATGTGCTCCTGGAGAAGAGGGCACAGCTGTGCTTGTCCTGAAGCCTCTTACCCTAATGTTTTATCTCTAAGAAAGTACCTCTTTACCGGCTTAGAGCTGAAGAGCAGACAAGGTCCTTCAGGAGTTCCTAGTGGTGAATGTTGTGTTCCTCGTATTTCTGTTCCTGGGGAACATGGAAAAGAATATTTAGCCTTAACACTCATTTTCTTGAGCAGTGGAACTAGTTTTAGACAGGCTCTCCTGGGAGGACCTCAGGGTTGTGTGTTTTTCCTCTGAGATGAAGAGGTTGGTTAAACCTCAGGACATTTTTAGTAGCACAGCTGTGAATCTTTCACAGGGGGCAAGATCTGCCTATAGTTGCAAATAAAATTTTTGACTGAAGTGTTGGGCCTCAACAAAAGGACTGCAAGTCTAAAGGCAGTAGTGAAGATGGGGGAGAGGATCTTCGCCTCATTCCTTGTGATTGAATAGCTCAGAGGCCGTTTTTTTAAAGAAGCCCTAGTTGAGCATCTGGCTGTTGCCGCCCCACCACAGAGCCAAGTGTGGTCCCTTGAGCTTTAGTCTGGTCAGCCACAGAAAAGCCTTATTGCATTGCAGTAGTTGAGGCTATCTGCATCCATTCATGCCTGGCCTCAAGGGCCAGGCAGTCTTGCCCATAGATAGGGCATGCTTGATGATAATCATCCAAGACTGAGGAATGTGGGCCTCTTAGCTTCTCTGGCCTCCTGAGAGCTTTTAACCATTTCATTTGCCCTTGCCAAAGCCCGCGTGAATTGGCTCATTTCCAAGACTGATGTTGGTGTGACAGGTGGAATCATGTTGGACTTTGCAGGGTTAGGAAGCACTTAATTGTTATTAGCATTTAGTTATATTTAGCATTTAATTATTTTCTTCTATTAATGCTTCATATATGTTTAATTTGACTCCCCACCCTGCTATAAGCCCCTCAAAGGCAGGGACCATATCATTGTCTCCCATTTTCCATGTAGCTTCTACCACAGGATAATCGTATTTAGGGACTAAGAAAATACCTTTTGGTTGGCTGATAAACAGAATATGCCTGGATAGGAAGGACCAAGAGATAATGGTGAATGAATTTCCAGATTTGTGTATCTCTTTCCCTTACTAGGCAGTGAGCACCTTGTGTCTTTCTTTATCCCCAGCTTGCATACAGTAGGTGCTTAGCAAACACTGGTTCCACAGAGCCCACACTCTGGAGATGCTAATATATGGGGAGACTTACAGGTAATCTGCCTCCTTCTGGAGTAGGTACAGACTAAGCACCTGTGGCAGGAGACGGGGGTCGGGGGGGGGCAGGGCTGATTGTGCCCCTGGAGATTTGTGAAAATTGTAAGGGCTGCTAGGAGGTGTTGGTGAATATTTAGTCATCTGGCCTGTGGTCTCTTGGGTAGGTTGGCAGGCAGGTGGCAGAATCTCAATGGGAAAGGAAATTGGGGATGAGAATACCAGGACAAATACCTAATTTTCATTAAATGTCCCATGAGGTCTCCTCCAGAATTGGGTTTGACCTCATCCAGAGACCTAGGTTTGGATATACTCAATCCCCCATCTGAACCATGTTTGTAAGACATATCTGTGAAGTATATAAAAATCCAGAAACTAGAACAGTTTCCCCAAGGACTTAGGTATTGTTAGGTAGAATTTGGGTACCTGTAGAAAGAGCTGGAAATCAACATTTCTGCTTAAGAACAGTAACTATTGACGACCTACCATCTGCCAGGCACTGTACTATTTGCTTTTATCTTTAAGCATCAAAATAATCCAGAGAGGTGTATGTGGATCCCATTTTGCTGAGAAAGAAAAAGACTAAAAGAGGTAATGTTGCTTGTCTAAGGTCCTCTAACCCTGGTCGCATGAAATCAGCATCCAGACCCAGGTCTGCCTGAAAACCATGTTTGTTCTATATTTAAGGGCATAAGGGTATTATGTCCCAAAGAGTAGGGTTGAAGGCCAGCTTTGAATGTTGTATTTTCTGTGGAATGGAAAAATTACGTGATTAGACACTGAGTTAAATGCACGATTCTTTGCTGTTGTCTCTGATATGATAAGCTCTATAGTAATTTTCATGGGTACTCTGAGCTGTCTAAAAATTCCCATGGTTTTTAGGTGATAGAAAAATTTTGTACCATTAAAAAAAAAAAGTTCCCATGGTGTCTTGGAGTAAGTGAAGAATGATTTAGGCGTTCGGAGTTGGTGAAGGGAACATTTCGCCTCTATTTCTTGAGCATGGATATCTGATATGATTACCTGCTTTTCTTCCTCTCTTGGGTTCCAGGTGCATTGGAGTGACTGTCTGGTATCACCAAGATGACAATCCACGCCACCCGGGGGGCCGCACTCCTCTCTTGGGTAAGTAGCCTTCCTCTCTTTTGTCAGCTGTACTTCTCCAGGAAGCTTGAGAGGGTTAGGAGAGGAGTTTTCTAGGAGTCAGGGCTATGTAAAGTCTTTTCATCCCTAGACTAAATAGTTTCCCTGTAGACAGCATGGAAATGCATTTTAATCTGCCCCCTGTGTATTTTTCTGAATAAAAGGGTAAATGCTGACGACTTTAGTGACCCACATATGCAGGGACTTTGGTCTTCAGAGGCCTTTAATCTTAGGACATGGTTCTCATCACTCTCTTACCACCTTTCTGTCTATTGCTATTGTCCATCAGCAAGTGTTGCCTTGCTGATTACTTCATCAGAATTATTTTGCTAGATCATTCACATATTTTCTGCCAGAGACAATGGCAGATGAAAAAATCAATAGAGTGTGTTGGATATTTAAAGCTAGGGAGGGCGGATGTGGTGGCTTACACCTGTAATCCCAGCACTATGGGAGGCTGAGGCAGGAGGATTACTTGAGCCCAAGAGTTGAAGACTAGCTTGGGCAACCTGGCAAAACCCTGTCTCTACAAAAAATTTAAAAATTAGCTAGGCACGGTGTTGTGCACCTGTAGTTTCAGCTACTTGGGAGGTTTAGGTATGAGGATCCGTTGAGCCCAGAAGGTTGAGGCTGCAGTGAGCCATGATTGCACCACTGCACTCCAGCCTTGACAACACAGTGAGACCCTGTTTCAGAAATATATATAAAAATAAAAAATAAATAAAGCTAAAGAAACAGAGGAGACCATGAAGTGTGGTGATAAGTATGGGCCTCAGAGTCAGATATCCAGCATAGAATCACAGTGCTGGCCACTCTGACGCAGGGCGTGTTAGCCTCTCAGCATCTTTTTTTTTTTTTTTTTTTAAATAGGGATATTTAAAAATTAAAATACTTCATGGAGTTCTGATTTCTCTTGGCACCGTGAAACAAACAAAATAAAATACCTCATGGGGTTATTACAAGGAAAATGAGATAAATTTAGTATGTACAAGTGCCCACACACATGCTGTTATTTAGCATAGTATCTTAATAAGTCATAGTTCTTGGTACTTAAAATATTTCCTGGGCATGCTAGTTGGCACAGGATATTTTAGTATTCACCCCGAGTACTGATTAATCAGGTCCAATTGAAGAGCCAACCATTTTTCTTTTCAAAAAATATAGGCATAGAGTCTTATTCTGCTGCCCAGACTGAAGTACAGTGATGTAATCATAGTTCATTATAACCTCAAACTTCAGTGCTCAAGCAATCCTTCTTTTTTTTCTTTTTTTCCCACTCTCCCCGCTCTTTATTCCTTTTTTTGAGACAGAGTCTCGCCTTGTCACTCAGGCTAGATTGCAATGGCACGATCTCAGCTTACTGCAACCTCCAGGTTGAAGCTATCCTTTTGCCTCAGCCTCCTGAGTAGCTGGGATTACAGGTGCGCGCCACCACACCTGGCTAATTTTTATATTTTTTTTTGTAGAGATGGGGTTTCACCATGTTGTTCAGGCTGGTCTAGAACTCCTGACCTTGTGATTCACCCGCCTCGGCCTCCCAAAGTGCTGGGATTACAGGCATGAGCCACTGCACCCAGCCTCAATACTTCTGCCTCAGCCTCCCAAGTAGCTAGGGCCACAGGAGCACATGCCTGGCTAAGTTTTAAAAACTTTTTGTAGAGAGGGGGTCTTGCTAAGTTGCCCAGGCCAGTCTCAAACTTCTGACCGCAAGCAAACTTCCCACCTTGGTCTCCCAAACTGCTGGGATGACAGGCGTAGCACTGTACCTGGCTGCCAACATTTTAAAATTAGAGAATATTTTAAAGGAAATGAATTTTTAATTTCTAGTTAGGGTTGAGTTAATAAGACAGGTTGTCTTTAGTCATGATCAAATCTCAAGTGAGAAAATATATGTTTAATCAGCAAAATCTGTATTCTTAGTCTTCAGTTTCTGAAATGGATGTAATTTTCATTTGTATAGCTTAAAATGTGTATTTTGTATTTATATATTTTATATTTGTATTGCATATTCGTGGTTTGGTTTTTTTTTTTCTGTATTAGAAACATTGTCTCTTCCTTCACCTATTCTCCTCACCTTTCCACCCCAAAAGGCTGGTTGGGTTTTACAGGAACCTGAGCAATGTCTCTAGTTCAATGCAGGTAACTGAATGTTGGGGGCTCCTTTAGCCACATTATTTTATGTTGACTGGTTTCTATTTATTTAGGTTCTAGGCTTATTTTTACAGTGACTATTACTGTTACAGTGAATAAACACAAGTCTAGTTTTATTTATTTATTTGGAGATGGTCTCACTCTGTCACTTAGGCTTGAGTGTAGTGGTACAGTGGAGTGCGTGGCTCCCTGCAGCCTCAACCTCCTGGTCTCAAGTAATCCTCCCACCTCGGCCTCTCTAGTAGCTGGGACCACAGGCATGCACTACCACACCCAGCTAATTTTTTGTATTTTTGGTAGAGACCAGGTTTTGCCATGTTTCCCAGGCTGGTCTTGAATTCCTGAGCTCAAACAATCCACCCTCCTTGACCTCCCAAAGTGTTAGGATTACAGGCATGAGCCACTGCACGCGGCCTAAGACTAGTTTTATTTACGGCAGCTACTTATATCCTTTTCTCAAAAATCACAATAAACATGTATGAGGCCAGGTGCAGTGGCTCACACCTGTAATCTCAGCACTTTGGGAGGCTGAGGTGGAGGATCACTTGAGCTCAGAACTTTGCAACCACCCTGGGCAACATGGCAAAACCCTGTCTCTTCAAAAAAATACAAAATTAGCTGGGCATGCTGGTGTTCCCCTGTGGTTCCAGCTACTCAGGAGGCTGAGATGGGAGGATCCCCTGAGGCCATGGAGGTTGAGGCTGCAGTGAGCTGTGATCGTGCCAGTACACTCCAGCCTGTGCAACAGAGTGAGAGCCTGTCTCAAAAACAAAAACAAAAACAAAAAACAACAAAGAATATGCATGAAAATGTTAAAGTGTAGTTATATATGCCAGGTTCAGTAGTGCACACCTGTAGGCCCCGCTACTTGGGAAGCTGAGACGGGAGAATTGCTTGAGCCCAGGAGTTTGAGGTTGCAGTGAGTTATGATTGCATCTGTAAATAGCCACTGCACTCCAACTTATAACACAGCAAGAGCCTGTCTGTCTCTTAAAAATAGATATAAATAAATATAGTTATAGAGAATTATTTAAATTTAAGCAAAAGTTGTGGAGCTAAAGTGAATTTTATGAAACTGTAGTAGCGTGAAATAATGCTTCTGGTTAGTGAGAAGAGTGGCATAGAAAATACACATACACACACGATAACTCCAACTGTGGTTTAAAAAAATTGCCAAGGAAAAACAACTAGAAAAAAATACATGAAAATGCCAGAAGTATCTGTATGAAAATACTAGAATTAATGGGAGTTCTGTTTTTTGTTTTTTTTATTTTTATTTTTTGAGATGGAGTTTCACTCTTGTCACCCAGGCTGGAGTGCAGTGGTGCAATCTCGACTCACTGCAACAACCTCCGCCTCCTGGGTTCAAGCAATTCTCCTGCCTCAGCCTCCCGAGTAGCTGGGACTACAGGCATGTGCCACCATGCCCCGCTAATTTTTGTATTTTTAGTAGATACTTTTTATTAGAGATGCAGTTTCACCTTGTTAACCAGGATGGTCTCGATCTCCTGACCTCGTAATCCACCCGCCTCGGCCTCCCAAAGTACTGGGATTATAGGCGTGAGCCACTGCGCTTGGCCGGGAGTTCTGTTTTTTGTCTTCTGAATTTTCAGTAATTTATTTTATTAATATTTAAATTATAGCTTGAGACTGTTCTGTAAACATCAGTTAATAATGAATAAACTGTTATAGGATATTTTAAAATTTGACAACCTTAAGCAACCCTGCAATCCTTAAGGGCAACTCTTGGGTTATGCAGTGAGCTTGGTCCTCACTCTCATGTTTTATGCCCTGACTAGAGATGAAGGAACTTCTCTACTTCCTCAACTTTTAAATGATTTCTCATTTGAGAGCAAAATAATTCACAGGAAGAAAAATATTTTCATATCCACGAAAGGAACTGTTGCCGGATTATTACTTATTTGGTACATATGATGAATCCAGATTCCTTAGAAGACTTTACATCAGCTAATTGATATGATTTTTTAGTCTCGTTAGTGATGAAGTATCTATAGCCCTTGACTGTTTTACCTAGGTTGCAGGTATTGATAAGTAATGGTTTAGCCTTGCCAGTCTCTTCATTTTCTACAGGTAAAATCGAATCTTGGCCCAAAGTTTTCAGAATCTTCCTAGAAAACTTAAATGACCTGTCCTGACCAATTAGATTGAGCTTTTTTCAAAAGACAGTATAAATATATTATAAACATATTAGCAAACTCCTTAAGACTTCAGTAAGTCATATTTTCTTTTCTTTTCTTTTTTCTTTTTTCTGAGATGGCGTTTCACCTGTTGTCACCCTGGCTGGAATGCAATAGCATGATCTTGGCTCACTATAACCTCCACCTCCCGGGTTCAAGTGATTCTGCTGTCTCAGCCTCCTCCGCAGCTGAGATTACAGGCGTGTGCCACCTTGCCCAGCTAATAGTCATATTTTATTTCACATTAAAAAAAAACCTTTTAATCTGTTTTAATTTGGATTCACCTAAAAGATTCCTCTTTTTGAGATAGGGTCTTGCTCTGTGACCCAGGCTGAAATGCAGTGGTGTCTTCATAATTCACTGCAGCCTGGAACTCCTGCACTCAAGCAATCCTCTGCCTCCCACCTTCGCTTCCTGAGCAGCTAGGACCACAGGCATGCACCACCATGCCGGGCTGTTTTTATTTTTTCGGAGACAGAGTCTTGCTATGTTGCCTAGGCTGATCTCAAACTCCTGGCCTCAAGTGATCCTCCCTCCTCATCCTCCCAAAGCACTGGGATTACAGGCATGAGCCACCAGACCCAGCCGAAAAGTTGTTTTCATTGTATTCATTTAATTTTTTTTGAGACAGGGTCTCAATCTGTTACCCATGCTAGAGTGCAATGGTGTGATCATAGCTCACTGTAGCCTTGACTTCCTGGGCTCAAGTGATCTTCTCACGCCAGCCTCTGAAGTAGCTAGGACTTAGAGGTGCATGCCATCATGTCCAGCTTGCTTGCTTGATTGCTTATTTATTTATTTAGTAGAGACAAGGTATTGTTATGTTGCCTAGAGTGGTCCTAAACTCCCAGCCTCAAGCAGTCCTCCTACCTCAGCCTCCCAAAGTGCTGGGATTACAGGTGTGAGCCACTATGCCTGGCCTGCTTTACCTTTTTTAATATGTTCTTGCATTCATAATCCCATTTGAGCCCACGCTGGTCCTTTAAAATAGATAAGGTAGGGATTCCATCCATTTGACAAGGGAGAAAACTAATGCAGAGAGAAATACAGTTCGTAACAAAGGTTCCTGGCAGGTTTGTGGAAGAGCTGGGCCCAAAATGTGTATGTACTGGCTCCCAGCCCAAATGGAGAGAACACATTTATAAGCACTAGAATCTAGTTGTCTTTATGTAACCACTAAGCTGAAGTTATTTAAAATATCTTGTTTCTTTTTTTTTTTGAGACAGAGTTTCGCTCTTGTTACCCAGGCTGGAGTGCAATGGTGCTATCTCAGCTAACGGCAACCTCCGCCTCCTGGGTTCAGGCAATTCTCCTCCCTCAGCCTCCCGAGTAGCTGGGATTACAGGCACGCGCCACCACGCCCAGCTAATTTTTTGTATTTTTAGTAGAGACAGGGTTTCACCGTGTTGACCAGGATTGTCTCGATCTCTTGACCTTGTGATCCACCCGCCTCGGCCTCCCATAAAATACCTTGTTTCTTAAAGCAGGCTCAGTCCCTCTCCCCTCGTAGTGTTGAATATGTGAATAAACTTAGCAAACCCTTTCTTCCTATAGTAATAAAAAAGTAAACTTCAGCCCAGGCTACTTCTGAACTTTAGTGCCTATGGAATTCATGAGGTTTTCCTGTAGAAGTCAACCATGTATGCTTATTTAATAACCTGTGTACCTGATGCATGTGACCTCTGGTGACTTTTCTAGTGTTGAAGGCTGATTTAGATGGATGCCTGTCTGAAGCCAAAGAATGGGAACAGGCAATTAAATCAGAATTAAGAAGTTTCTCTTTGAGATTCCCAACTGTTCTTCTTTTCTTTCATTTCTTTTTTGTCTTTTTTTTCTTTTCTGGAGACAGGGTCTTGCTCTGTCACCCAGGTTAGAGTGCAGTGATGCAATCTCAGCTCACTGCAGCCTCGGCCTCCCTAGGCTAAGGTGATTCTCCCACCACAGCCTTCTAAGTAGCTGGGACTACAGGTATGCAACATTTGGCTACTTTTTTGTAGGACAGGGTTTCACCATGTTGCCCAGGCTGGTCTTGAGCTCAAGTTATCTGCCCGCCTTGGCCTCCCAAAGTGTTAGGATTACAGGTGTGAACCACCGTGCCTGGCTCCCCACCCCCTTTTTAAAAAATCATCTTGTTCCCCTGTTGTCCTTCCCTTCTCCCCTTAGCCAAAGTTTTATGTGTGGAAAGAATAAGAATGCATTAACAACAAGATTTTATATCTTTTTGGGAGTGTATAGCATATATGTAATATTTAAGTTTTGAATAGATATTTCAAAACTCAAGAGCTACAAAAGGGCAATAATATAAAAATCCAAGAGATACAGAAACTGATAATGTAAACATTCAAGAAATACAAAGGGCTATAATACATTGAAGAGCTACAGAGGGTTATAATGTAAAAGCCTTTCTTTTACAAAAGCCACCTCAGACTCCCTGCTGTCAAGTTCCTCTCTTTAGAAGCATAGTAGTAGCAGTTTATTGGTGTATCCTTCCAAAACCATTTTATGCCTAAAAGCATACTCCCAGTGCTGGAACATCTTAGGAGAGTTTAAGCTTTCATTTAGTTGAAGTCAGAAGAAGGGCTCTCTGATGGTTGCATTTCAGGTGGCTGTAACTGGATGAGTGAGTGCAACAGCACTCCTTCCTGAAATTAAACATCTGAGAATCATCAGTTCTTTTATCCCTATAGCCTGCAACTGTAAGCACTTATATTGAGCCTCTGGGAAAAAGAACAAACCACCTTGCTTCTGGTGTTTTTAACTGTCTCACCAGGCTGTTCCCTTTGGCTCACAGGTGAACAGTCTGCGCGTGGCTGATCCTGTGGAGGCTATATTGCAGCTCCAGGACTGCAGCATCTTCATCAAGATCATTGACAGAATGTGAGTATGCACCATACCCCTCTCCAGCCTCTAAGGCAAAGCTGATTGCTGGGATGGGGGCTCTACTTGTTCTCTTTCCTTGGTGATGGCTATGACCAGAAATCAGGGGCAAGATTGGGACATCATAAGCCAGGGTGGGACCTAGAGGCAAGAATACATTGACCTCATCTTCCAGTCGCCATGCCACTCCATAGGAGAGGTTTCATGCTTGTCCTATCCTGAGGCTTCTACACTCTTGCACAGGAGAGCCTCCAAGGCTCCATGCCCTCACATTCTTCCAAGTGGCCACTAGGGCTCCTTATTTTATTTTATTTTTTTTAATAAAATAAAAAAATAAGTTTTTTTCTTTTAAAAGACAGGGTTTCACCATGTTGGTCAAGCTGGTCTTGAACTCCCGACCTCAGGTGATCTGCCCACCTTGGCCACCAAAGTGCTTGGATTACAGACGTGAGCCACCGCACCCTTATTCTCTTGTCTTACCAGAAGTCTTCTACAACCCTCTTTTCTTGGCTCGTCCCTACCTTATCCCACAAGCCATCTTTACAACCTCTAAGGGAAGAAAGGGGAAGCTCTCAAACCTGAAGGAAAGAAGAAACATACAAATGTCATCTCTAACATACAGCACAGTATAGCTATGCCTCTTTCTAAGCAATTAGAAATACACTTCTGAGATTTTTACTGCCTCAGTTAACTTGCTTTCTGAGGTCCATGAGCATTTAATAATCTTGTTGTTATCATGTAGCAAGGATTGTAGTTTGGCCTTTCAGTCTGTATCTTTAGCATATTTCTTTTGAACATCACAGTTATCTGGGAAATCAATAGAGTGGGGCGTCCTCCCAGTATCCTACCTTTCTGGGACCAAGTATGGATCAGTCTCCTTTTCTTTTTTTATTTTATTTTAAAGAAAGCACATTAGATTGTTTGCCCCAGGCCAAGGAGAGGCTGAAGTGTTAATTGAAGGTGTTTATGTGCCATATGTGGCAGTTAGGAACTGGTATCAGGGACTCAGACCTCTGTGAAGCAAGCACTTTAGCTACCTTTTCATAGGTAACAGCTAATTGATAGGGAAAGAAGGTAGAATTAAGCTTATCAAAGGCCAGGACTGTGTCTAGTTCATCTTGGGGTTCTCCCTACCTAGCTTAGGACATTACCTTGATTAGTTTTTAGTTAATGTTTGTTGAGTGAAGAGATGAGTCGGTATTCTCCATCAGTGAAGTCTAGTGGGGCCGAGTAGCCCAGGATAGATGAGTCTGCTAAAGTTTTTTTTTTATTTGAAATGTGTGTTGGTCATGGGTTGTCTTACAGGATTTTTTAAAACACCGTATGGCTCTAACCAGCACCTGTCTTAGTACTGCTAAAAGAAGTCACTATTCTTATTTTGGTTTAGGCACTACCATTTTCTCTCCCGCTTACACAGGCCGGACATTTCAACATCATCTTGCCTTCTCTCTCTCCTTGGCACTGATCTCTAATTGGTCGTCATCCTCTCTGCTCACATCTCATGTCCCTTCCTCTGCCTCTTTCTGGATCCTAGGCCATCATGACCTAGTTCTTCTCTAATCTCCCCTTATAGCAGTCCATTCCTATACTTGAGTTCTCAAGAATCTTTCTCAAATCTTGTTTTCTTTCTCACACTTCAGTGACTCTTCATCAAACCTCAGTGACTATTCATTTTTATTTTTGAGGCAGAGTCTACTCTGTTGCCCAGGCTGGAATGCAGTGGTGCGATCTTGGCTTACTGCAACCCCCGCCTCCTGGGTTCAAGCGATTCTCCTGCCTCGGCTTCCCAAGTAGCTGGGATTACAGGTGCCTGCCACCATGCCCGGCTAATTTTTGTATTTTTAGTAGAGATGGGGTTTCACCATGTTGGTCAGGCTGGTCTCAAACTGCTGACCTCATGATTCACCCACCTTGGCCTTCCAGAGTGTTGGGATTACAGGTGTGAGCCACCGCATCCGGCCAATAGAAATCTAAAATCTTCAGCCTGGTGTTTAAGATCTTTTATCAGGGGGTCATTTCCTCTCATCAGTTTTGTTTCCTTTTTTTCTCTCCCCATTCCACACCATCTCATTTTTTTTTTTTAAATCTTATAGAAATCCCTAAATCCTGGAATTTGCTTTTTGCATTATCATGGTGCTGCTTAACTGTTCCCCTTGATGCCTATATACTGATAAATAGAGCTAAGCTTGATTCACTTTTTGTTTTTCAAGGACACTTCATAGTTGGGGTTGCGTACCACATGTAAGTCAGCATTTTGCAACTTCAATTGAAAATCATTATTTTGCAAACCCTAAGCAAGTGATAGATCCAGGCACCTGACATCAATGGCTGGTAAAACCATTAAGCTGGCAATACCTAACTCTGTTTAATTTTAACCTCACTAAAAGTGAAGCAGCAAGGTATAATATGCCTTGTATTATAACACACAGTATGGGGCAGCATGCTTTTTTGACTTCAGAATAGCTCAAGGAACTTCTGCTTTTGAAGAGAGAAAATTTCTTGGCCTGGTGACAAGAGCAGTAGATGTACTCAGGAGTAAGAATGTGTGTTGTCCTTGGGTTAACCACTGTAGGTTAATAACCTGGTAGGAAATTTTCATAGGAAGGGTCAAAAAATTCAAGATGCTCATTTTCAAGTTGTCTTCTAGCGTGTTGTCTGAACCTAACTGCAGCAGAAGGGGGGAGTTGGAGGTAGGCAGTGTTGAAATCCCAGGTTAACGGGAACCTCCATCTCAGATCCAGGACAATGCAGACTAGTTTCCTTTTGGGAAATGGAGGTTCTTGGCTAACATGTTCTGGCTCTTGCATTTCTGAAATCGCTACTGGTGCCAACCTAAATCAGCAGCCTGGTTCTCAGCAGAAGGCAGCAGAGGATGGCAAGGTTGGAAGGGAGATAAAAGCTGTGGGAACTGGGTGACTCCTGTCTGCCACTGTACAAGGGGCACACTGAGAAAAATAATTGTTAAAAAAATTTTTTTTTAAAAAGCTGTGGGAGTTGAGGAATGTTTAATTGCTTGGCCACTTGGCCTTCTCTATGGGAAAATTAATTGGGATCAACCCCTCTGACAAGTTTCTCTTTCTATTCTTCTGTGCGTGAATAGCCTAAAGCAAACAAGGCAGTCTGATCTCTGATAGCTGTGAGGCATAAATAGCAAAGTATAGTGGAGGGATTTTGCCAGAAAACTTACGGCAGTGACATTTGTCTTGCTGACATTTATTTCTGCTCTTAGTAAAAAGCATCCCTCAGTTGCCACTCAGCTCGTATTTACTGAGCACCTACTTTATTCCTGGCTTTCAGCTAGTACACTTGGAGTGGGCAGTTATAAATGAATGATACAGTTGCATTCATGAGTGCAGCAGGAAGACCTGGAGGATATGGGAGGCATGACTGGCAGGAGTTGTGGATGGCTTCCTGACAGAGATGAGACTTCAACACAGTCTTAAAGGATGGGCTAGATTTCTCTAGGCCTACTGTTGTCTAAAGCATGCTCCATGCAGCTTTACTTACATGTAGGGGGAGGGGAAAGCGTTTTGTGGTCAAATCGTTTTCAGAAATAATGCATGTTGTATCTTCTTTAGAAAATGTTCAGTTTAGTTTAACCCAGAATTTCTCAAACATTTCACCTGATAACCTCTTTTTATTTTTAGTTGATAGAATACTCCGAGGTAAATACTGCTCTACACTGAGCCAAGGAGTCACAACATTCCACATTGTGGGTGGGTAAGGAAAATGGCTCATTTGGGAGTCTGTCAAGAGACTAACATCTCCTCAAGACTTTGTAGGAGTCTCTTATCAGACCAGTTATCCAGACAGAGTGCCTCTGGGATGGCTTGGAAGAAGCCTTTGTAATCACCTGGGGTGTTGCAGGGGAGGTACACTCAATCTTGGCTTGGATAATGCGTGTGCTTGCAGGATGTCTCTGGCATTGGAAGGTTCTGAGCCTACCTTGCCCTCCAGAAGGTTGGCTGAGATCTAAGGGTTTAGGTTCTGAGAAGCAGGGGGCCCACTAATCAGGATCTCCCACTGTAGCCTACAGAAGTCAGCTTTCTAACTTGAAGTGGTATTTCAGAAGTTACCTGCTGCCTCTGAAAATGGAACTGCAGTTAGCTGAGACATCCAGGGCCCTCGTCCCTGGGCTGTGTGAGAGCTCCCCCTGCTGTCTCCCTCCCTTCATGGCTCTCTTCACACTGCCTGCTCTTCCAGTAAAGCAAGTACAGACAACCACTAATCAAAAATACTAGTTCCAGCTGGGCTTGATGGCTCACGCCTGTAATCCCAGCACTTTGGGAGGTCGAGGTGGGCAGATCACCTGAGATCAGGAGTTTTAGACCAGCTTGGCCAACATGGTGAAACCCCATCTCTACTAAAAATAGAAAAATTAGCTGGGCATGGTGGTGCATGCCTATAATCCCAGCTACTCAGGAGACTGAAGCAGAATTGCTTGAACCTGGGAGACAGAGGTTACAGTGAGCCAAAATCGTGCCACTGCACTCCAGCCTGAGCAACAGATTGAGATTCTGTCTCGAAAAGAAAAGAATACTAGTCCCTGGGATCCTCTTCTGGAAGGCTTTTACCATCTCAGCCTTCATCCTAGTGTGGGAACTTCACCCTGTCACTTCAGAGCCTTGTTTCCTCCTGCTCTTTCAGTTCTTGGATGTGTTTTTCCCTCCCTGTGGTCTTCTCTCACTCTTACCCTAGGTGTGTTCTCTGGGCCCCCAGTTTAGAGTTGAGCCATTTCAGAAGGTGTCATCTAGCTTCCCATTCACCTTCTGTGCTGCCTCTGTCTCCTCTTGGTCCCTTGCTACAGAGCTTTTTTATATTTGCAAATAGGAAGGCAGAGTGCCATCTTTTCCAGAAGAACTCCATGCCTCAGGACCCCACTTCTCATCCACCACACAGTTCCATCTGGATAAATGGTGTCCTGGTATCTCTCACCTGCCTCTAGGGTCTGGTCTGGTTCTCTTCCAGATCCAGCAGAGATCAAGACTGGAAGGAATGTGGAGGTAGTATGAAATGCAGCAGCAAGGAGGCAAAGATTGCTGAATACTCTGGTACTAATACTTGTTCTTTTTCTAGCCATGGCACTGAAGAGGGACAGCAAATCTTGCAACAGCCGGTGCCAGAGAGACTGGACTTTGTGTGCAGTTTTCTGCAGAGTAAGCACCTTTCTTATCCAGCAGTGAAGAAGCTGCTTCCTCAGCTCGTGAGATTGGAGAGTCCAGAGGAACTAGTTCATAGGCGTCTGGAGTAGAAAAATTTCAAGGCTCCCCACTCTTTAATGCAAAGATGAAAACAGCTGGCTCACATCCCCTGCGTCTTGTGATGCCTCCATCAGTTGGTGTAAGAAGTGTCCCTTCAGTCCTAGAGCCCATCTCAGAGATGCAGGTGGACCCAGAAGGTCACTTTTTGGGACTTATCACCTTGACGGTTTGAGCACCTTGAGCTTCTGTTCCCCCAACTTCAAGGAGACAGAAGAGAATGACTCTCTTTCCCTTGCAAGAAAAACTGTTTTTTCCCAAATAACTTTGAATTAATTGCTTAGGTGATAGTTATAGGGGCAGAGGCAGATTAAGGTTAATCTTGACCCCCACTCACTGCTTGTATGACCTTTCTGGACATAGGTTCCCTATGTATATGGAGATGATAACTACTGTTAAGGGGCTGGGTAGATTACATAAGAACACGCAAAGCTTCCAGTACAGTGTTTTTCTCTTCCCCTCCCCTTGTTCAGCCTTAGACCACAGAGTCCTCATCTTTGACATGGGGAGCTAGCTGCCATCTCCACTCCCAGAGAATTAGAGGAAAGGTGAGGTTATAGTTCAATAAAGCAAGGTGTTAGTAATTGAGCCCAGACCCTCTGGCAGCATAAGAGTCAGGTATCCTCAGTTGTCCTCTTCTGACTCAGCTGCAGGCTTCCTCTGTGACCTCAATTGGACTCTAAAGTCACCTGGCATCTCTGGGTTCTTCCTCTGTGGTGCTGAGAGAGGGCTGGTGAGCGGGTGGAGAGTGCAATGTCATGACCCAGAGTTGCTGTGAATTCCCAGGCTGCTTTCTTCCTCCACTATCCCTGTAGCCCTTGGACTGACCCAAGATAGAACAGACTTCAGATGGAAAATTGTAACGCAGGGAAAAGAGGGTATAGGATTAAGGAGCCCTACATCTCATAGTCCCGCCAGAGATAGCCATTCTACTCCTCAGATTTAAGTGTTCTGGGATCTCAGCTGTGGTTCCCAGGAAGTTCACCCTGTTTTCTACATTGTCATTGCAGAAAATCGAAAACATCCCTCTTCTCCAGAATGCCTGGTGTCTGCACAGAAGGTGCTAGAGGGATCAGAGTTGGAACTGGCCAAGGTACCTATGGAATACCAGACTGGGGAGGCAGAGCAGAGTTGGGGTGATGGTACCTGAGGGACCCTGCAGGGCCTTCTCTTAACCCAAGGGGAGATGGTAGGTGCCTTATTTCTGGGGCTCTGGTATGTTGGAGGTAGAACCAGGCAGTCACCTGTCTGAGACAGAGGCTAATTTAGCCCAAGGATTCTAGGAGCCCATGGTCTTATGACAGAGATTATGAGACAAACAGTGGTTTACTAGACCATTACTGTGGGCCTTGGTGGAGACCTGGCGGAAATTAGGTCTCACTCGGCTATCACCATATTTTTATTATAGCTCAGTCTACATCATTCCCTCTGCACTTTCTGGGTACTAGCCTGGAGAGGGTACCTAAATCTTCACACCCAGGGTTCTATGAGTCCAGGAATTGAGCCATACAGGAATCTTGGCACCCAGCTTTTTGTACAGTGTGCATTGTGTCCTCAATTAAAAAAATATATATATTTCCTGGAGCTGTTAAGGATGGTGGCCTGGGGCTGCTGAATTCTAGGAGTTTTGGAAGAGTCCCCAGAATAGGAGCACTGAGAAGAGAGACAGCCCCACTCAGTGACTGCCTCCTGTTTGGCTTCTAGATGACTATGCTGCTCTTATACCACTCTACCGTGAGCTCCAAAAGCCCCAAGGACTGGGAACAGTTTGAATATAAGATTCAGGTAAGCCCTTATGTAAGCCACCCCAACTAGTGGGCCTAGCCCATGCTTTACCTCACCCACCTCATTTTCCTTTAAATAGCAGATACTGGTCTTTTTAAAAACACATTCGTAGTAATTATTTCCATTCATCATAGAAAATCTGGGAAATGTTAAAAAGCATGAAGAAGGAAATAGCAGTTGCCAATAAACTCATACCCAGAGGTTGAGTTTTAAAGGATATACTTTCAAGTCCTTTTTTATGTGCATATGTTTAACTGTAACATGTTTTAGGGTAATACATAGAAATTATTTTCTGTTCCTATATGTGTTTCTGTGCATGTGTGCTTTCCGCAGAACTTTCACTTTATTTATCTCATCCTTTCCTCTGGTAGGGTCATCTGGAAGAGGCCAATATAGTTATATATAAAAGCTTCCTGGCCGGGCGTGGTGGCTCATGCCTATAATCCCAGCACTTTGGGAGGCCGAGGCAGGAGGATTGGGGCCAGGAGTTTAAGATCAGCCTGGATAACATAGTGAGACCCTATCTCAACAAAAAAGATTTTTAAAATAAATTAGCTTGGTGTGGCAGTGTGTCTGTAGTTCTAGCTACTTGGGGGGCTGAGGAGGATCACTTGACTCTAGGAGTTGGAGGTTACAGTGAGCTATGATTGTGCCACTGTACTCCAGCCTAGGTGACAGAGCAAGACCTTGTTTCTTAAAAACAGCAAAAACAATAACAAAACCAACTTCTGATTTTATTACTTTTCTTACCAGTCACTTCACTTGTGGTCAGGAGTGAAGTCAGTCAGGAACTCTGACTTGGGTACATCTTTAGGGGAGGTAGGAGGGAAGGGGGCAAGAAGGGTGAACATATCTCTAGTTGAATGTTGTTGGCTCGGCCATAGGACCTCAGCTCTGAGAAGGAGAGTGGGATCCAGCAGGCTCCTAGGGTGTGAGAGAGCTGGGGACTGGCACTGCCAGGGTAGAGCTCCTGGCAGCCATCCCTTCGGGGGCCTAACACCTAAGTGATGCTCTTTTTCTCTCTGTGGCCCAGGCTGAGTTGGCTGTCATTCTTAAATTTGTGCTGGACCATGAGGATGGGCTAAACCTTAATGAGGACCTAGAGAACTTCTTACAGAAAGGTGAGTATGTACACATTCCTGAGGATCCCCTCATCTCTGAACTGGGGACTCCTAGGATCCTGAGTTGTCAAGAAGTGCAGTGGGGATTTGTTTTTGTCCCAACACAAGGCAGAGTTGGTGCTCAGGAAAAGTGTGTGTAGTGGAGTAGGTCGATTTCTGGGCCATGTTGTATCATCTCAGTTCCTATCGAGCTCCTTGCTGCCTGGCAGCTAAGTAGGATATTTACAGGTGATCATACCTACTTTTGTTTTTTATTTTTTTAATTTTTTTGAGATGGTGTCTTGTTCTGTCACCGGGCTGGAGTGCAGTGGCACGATCTCGGCTCACTGCAATCTCTGCCTCCCGGGTTCAAGCAATTCCTCTGCCTCAGCCTCCCGAGTAGCTAGGACTACAGGCATGCACCACCACGCCTGGCTGATTTTTTGTATTTTAGTAGAGGCGGGGTTTCACCATGTTAGTCAGGATGGTCTCTATCTCCTGACCTTGTGATCCGCCTGCCTCGGCCTCCCACAGTGCTGGGATTACAGGCATGAGACCTTGTGCCCAGCCTTGTTTTTATTTTTTAAACAATTATTACTCTAGGCTTAGAAGCTGAGAATACACAGTCTTTTTTTTTTTTTTGGAGACAGAGTTTGGCTGTGTCACCCAGGCTGGAGTACAGTGGCACGATCTTGGCTCACTGCAACCTCCGCCTCCCGGGTTCAACTGATTCTCCTGCCTCCCGAGTTAGCTGGATTACAGGTGCATGCCACCACACCTGGCTAATTTTATATTTTTAGTAGAGATGGGGTTTGACCTTGTTGGTCAGGCTGGTCTCAAAGTCCTGACCTCAGGTGATCCGCCCACCTTGTCCTCTCAAAGTGTTGGGATAACAGGCATGAGTCACCACGCCTGGCTCATAGTCTTTTTAAAAAATGTTTTTCCTGTCATGTAGTGCATGTTCTAGGTGGAAAGGCAGATACATACATCAGTAAATATGATAAGGAATCTAAGTACAGAATATATCAACTGTCTCAGCTGGTGCTACAGTAGAGTGATCATTCTGCTAGTCTTCTGATGAAGAGGTCAGCTGGTGATGATAGGAAGGTAAGAAGGTCTAGATAAGTTCTAGCCATTGAATTTGATGTTCCTTGTATTCAGGCTCCTCATGAGACCTTCAGGTGGAGATGTTGGAAATGTCAGTCCAGAATTCAGGAGCGGGCCCTGGACCAAAAGATAGGTTTGCAAGTCAGCAGGTGGATGGCCATTGAAGCTGTAGGCACTGTGTGCAAAGCCAGGAGGCCCCATCAGACCTCTGGGAGCTTAGAGGGTGGGTAGAGGAGGGAGGAGCAGATGAAGAGACTAAGAATAGGTGATTAGACGTAGGAGAGTCCTACAGAAGTGGTTACTTCTGTGGGAACCTAGGAAAGAGAAGAGTTTTGAGAAGCAGGGCATTTTGGAGGTGCAAGACTTGAGGGTGGAAGAAAGGTTGTTGGGGGCTGTGAGAAGATCCTGCTCAGGGTTCCCCAAGCCTTCTCTGCAGTGTTGACTTCAGGAAAAAGCTTGAGCACTTGGTCCAGTTTCTGAGCCAGAGGACACCCTCACTCCACTATACTGTGAGTAGTAATGCTCTGTAGAAACGGAAGCCCTACACTTGATTTTGGTTAGAGACACAGAACTCTGGATAACAGACACCAGGTTTCAGGTTCTGCCCAGTGGCTTCCTTGGTAGTTTACATATAAGTGTCCACAGATTCACTCCCACTAAGGCGAGTTCTCAAATTGCATAAAGGTCAAATCTTTTCACCTTCTTACTAACCTTTGTTGATTTGTCTGTTTCTTACCCCCAGCTCCTGTCCCTTCTACATGTTCTAGCACATTCCCTGAACAGCTCTCCCCACCTAGCCATCAGACCAAGAGGGAGATTCGCTTCCTAGAGCTACAGAAGGTTGCCTCCTCTTCCAGTGGGAACAAGTATGTTCTGGGCCTCTCCTCCTGGGATAGGGCCTCAGCCTCCATCCATTCCTCACCTCCCTACCTTCTAGAGTTAAGCTATTGAGCATCCTCTGGGAGTGCTTGGAGTATCCTTTAGATTTGGGATTTCCCCACCTCACCCAGTACTAATTGGGGAAATTGGTTGGGATTTGTCATGGGCAGGAGGCCTCCCTCAAAAGCTGATCCCTATTTATGGAATATCCTTCTTCCTTGGATACTACAGTGAAGTCCCTTCTCTTAGCATATTTCTGCAGAGGTAAGGAAAATATATCACTTTTTTTTTTCCTGACAAGCAAATTAAGTCAGTGAGAAGAAAAGTTTTCTCAAGATGATGTCATGAGATTTGAGGTAGCACTGCAGACAGAACCGAGGTGCACAGGCCTCCCAGCTGCTAGTGCGCACGTCCATACCCCACTTTCCCCTTGCTGCCTGTTGCTTTGCTTCAGATCTTAGGCTCTTACCATTGCACCAGGGTCTTCTCTCTCCTTAGCTTCCTCTCAGGTTCCCCAGCGTCTCCCATGGGCGATATCCTGCAGACCCCACAGTTCCAGATGAGACGGCTGAAGAAGCAGCTTGCTGATGAGAGAAATGATAGGGATGAGTTGGAGCTGGAGCTGGCCGAGAACCGCAAGCGCCTCACCGAAAAGGGTAGGTGCCTGGCACGCTGGCAGATGTGTGTGAATGGACTTACTAGAGGGATATCCCCTTGGCCTCCCGTGTTGTCCCCTCTGCTGACCCTGGACCGTAGAGCTCAGCCCTGGGCCTGAAAGTTCTGTTCTGTCTTTGTCTCCATCTTCTCTTTCCCTTAGATTGGATACCATATTCCTCCTCCTCCCTATGTTGCCTCCTCCTTTCCCCTTCACACAGTTCTGTCTGATTCTCTTTTCTTCCTCCCTCCACTTTGGGCAGATGCACAGATAGCCATGATGCAGCAGCGCATTGACCGCCTGGCCCTGCTGAATGAGAAGCAGGCGGCCAGCCCACTGGAGCCCAGGGAGCTCGAGGAGCTGCGTGACAAGAACGAGAGGTACAGCTGTCTCTGCATTCCTTACGAGGCCCCAGCCCCTCCGTGTACCCAGCCAGGAGCCCATACACTCTTCTCACTGCTTCCCTCCTTCACAGCCTTACCATGCGGCTGCATGAAACCCTGAGGCAGTGCCAGGACCTGAAAACAGAGAAGAGCCAGATGGATCGCAAAATCAACCAGCTTTTGGAAGAGAATGGAGACCTTTCTTTTAAGGTGGGTATTAAGGTGGTCTGTGCATGGAGGCCTCTCAGGGCTGAGGTGGTCCGGAAGGCTCCCCAAGAGAGGGTTGAGAAGAATGTCCCACCTGTCTTATGCTTCAGTCTCTCCAGAGACCTGCATATTTTGCCCCTTTCCTTGTCCCATAATTGGCTACCTCCAGGGTACTGGGTTGTGACCCTCAATTTTGACTTGTAGTCCTGAATTAGAAGTGTGATTGCTGTGATTGGTTTGTGGAGGGTTGGCAAGATAATTGGAGGCATTCTGCCCCTGGGGTTCAGGGAGCTGACAGCAGTGGTGGGGTCAGTGTTGACCCTGGGATTCCCACTTGCCCTTCTCAGCTGCGGGAGTTTGCCAGCCACCTGCAGCAGCTACAGGATGCCTTCAGCAAGCTAACAGAGGAGCACAGCAAGGCCACTCAGGAGTGGCCGGAGAAGCAGGCCCAGCTGGAGAAGGAGCTCGGCACAGCCCTGCAGGACAAGGTAACCCTCTGCTGAGGTCACAACCAGTCATGACCACACGTGCAAAGTTGAGTCCAGTTTGCCACTCTGCCCTTCTGGGCCTTTGGGTATTAAGCTGCTTTCTCTTCAGGGTTCAATAGTGTGCTGTTGTGTGAGCTTAAGTCTAGTACACACTAGACTTTTTTTTTTTTTAATTTTTTAGTTTTTTCCCCAATCAGTGCCCTCACTTTACAGTACACCTTTCAGTACTGTCTCTCTTGTTTACAAGATGTGGATCTTGGATAAATTAATCAATCTGTTTCTCTAAGCATCCTTTCCCTAAAATGGGAGTAATAACGAGTAGCTGCCTCATCACCTATTATGAGATAATATATGTAAAGCACTTTACACATCGTGTAGTGTCAAGTAAGCTCTCAGTGAACCAGTTGATATTATTATTGTTGCTACTGGTAAGAACTCAACTCTGTCACTTACTAGTAACTGTGTAGCCCTCAATCAAGGCACTTAGCATCTGGGCTTCAGGTTCTTGCTGTGTAAAGGGCATAGTAATACCTGCCTCCCACATTTGTAGGTGAATTAGAAATTCAGGGATACACCCAGGCCAGGCGCAGTGGCTCACACCAGTAATCCCAGCACTGTGGGAGGCCAAGGTGGGTGAATCATCTGAGGTCAGGAATTCGAGACCACCCTGGCCAACATGGTGAAACCCCATCTCTACTAAAAATACAAAAAAAAAGAAAGCTGGGTGTGGTGGTGCACGCCTGTAGTCCCAGCTACTCAGGAGGCTGAGGCAAAAGAATCACTTGAACCTGGGAGGCGGAGGTTGCAGTAAGCCGAGATCTCACCACTGCACTCCAGCCTGGGCGACAGAGCGAGACTCTGTCTTAAAAAGAATTCAGGGATGCACCCAGTACAGCCTATTGTAGGTGCTTAGCGAACAGTGGTGAGGAAGTGGGTTTGGGGCTGGGGGGTGCTGCACTGCTGCTCCTGGTATTGCTGCCCAGAGGATGGTGGGCAGCTGGTGGTGGTTTGGACCATCCAGGACTGAAGACTTATCTGAGGAAAGGTAGACAGTAAGGAAATTTGAAGTAAACTCAGCAGCCTTGGGGAAGTAGTAAGTAGGTCACATTATGACTTGAATTCTGCCTTAGAACTAGGTCTAGAGAGTAAGATCCCCCACGGTCCCAGTTCCATGGTTTCTGCTTTTTTCTAGGCATGGGGAAAAGGAGATATTGGTAACAAGATGATGGGCCCCATGTTTGATGTTCATGAGGGCTGGTGTGGTAATCTGGTGCTTGTTCCACCTGTCTGTTGACATGGGTCTCATTTACTCCCAGAAATGCCTTGAAGAGAAGAATGAAATCCTTCAGGGAAAACTTTCACAGCTGGAAGAACACTTAGCCCAGCTGCGGGAGAACCCACCCCGGGAGAAGGGTGAGGTGCTGGGTGATGTCTTGCAGGTAGGAATGCACAGGAAGACCTGTGTACTAGGGGTTGGTGTAGACTCACATTTGGTACATTTGGGTTCCTGGTGTTCCTCCATTCCCAGAGGGGCTTGGTGACTGAGGAGTCATGCTGATCCCAATTTGTCTCTTTATACCACCAGTTGGAAACCTTGAAGCAAGAGGCAGCCACTCTTGCTGCAAACAACACACAGCTCCAGGCCAGGGTCGAGATGCTGGAGACTGAGCGGGTCCAGCAGGAAGCCAAGCTGCTTGCTGAGCGGGACCACTTTGAAGAAGAAAAGCAGCAGCTGGCTAACCTGATCGCTGACCTGCAGAACTCTATCTCCAACCTCAGCCAGGCCAAGAAAGAGCTGGAGCAGGCCTCCCAGGCTCATGGGGCCCAACTGACTGGCCAGGTGGCCTCTCTGACCTCTGAGCTCACCACACTCAATGCCACCATCCAGCAACAGGATCGAGAACTGGCCAGCCTGAAGCAGCAGGCCAAAGAGGAGCAGGCCCAGCTAGCACAGACCCTCCAACAGCAAGAACAGGCCTCCCAGAGCCTCCGCCACCAGGTGGAGCAGCTGAGCAGCAGCCTGAAGCAGAAGGAGCAGCAGTTGAAGGAGGTAGAGGAGAAGCAGGAGGCCACTAGGCGGGACCACGCCCAGACACTGGCCACTGCTGCAGAGGAGCGAGAGGCCTTCTTAAGGGAGCGGGATGCAGCTCTACAGCAGCTGGAGGCACTGGAAAAGGAGAAGGCTACCAAGCTAGAGATTCTGCAGCAGCAACTTCAGGCTGCTAATGAAGCCCGGGACAGTGCCCAGAGCTCAGTGACAGAGGCCCAGAGGGAGAAGGCAGAGCTGAGCCAGAAGGTGGAAGAACTCCAGGCCCGTGTTGAAATAGCCTGCCAGGAACAGCATGAGGCCCAGGCCCAGGTAGCAGAGCTAGAGGTCCAGCTGCAGTCTGAGCAGCAAAAAGCAAATGAGAAAGAAAGGGTGGCCCAGGAGAAAGACCAGCTCCAGGAACAGCTCCAGGCCCTCAAAGAGTCCTTGAAAGTCACCAAGGGCAGCCTTGAAGAGGAGAAGCGCAGGGCTGCAGATGCCCTGGAAGAGCAGCAGCATCGTATCTCTGAGCTGAAGGCAGAGACCCGAAGCCTGGTGGAGCAGCGTCAGCAGGAACAAAAAGAGCTGGAAGAAGAGAAGGCTAGGCGCAAGGGGCTGGAGGCTCGATTACAGCAGCTTGGGGAGGCCCATCAGGCTGAGACTGAAGCCCTGCGGGGGGACCTGGCAGAGGCCATAGCTGCCCAGCGCACGGCTGAGAGTGAGTGTGAGCAGCTCATCAAAGAGGTAGCTGCCTGGCGTGAACGGTATGAAGATAGCCAGCAAGAGGAGGCACAGTATGGCGCCATGTTCCAGGAACAGCTGATGACTTTGAAGGAGGAATGTGAGAAGGCCCGCCAGGAGCTGCAGGAGGCAAAGGAGAAGGTGGCAGGCATAGAATCCCACAGGGAGCTCCAGATAAGCCGGCAGCAGAATGAGCTAGCTGAGCTCCATGCCAACCTGGCCAGAGCACTCCAGCAGGTCCAGGAGAAGGAAGTCAGGGCCCAGAAGCTTGCAGATGATCTCTCCACTGTGCAGGAAAAGATGGCTGCCACCAGCAAAGAGGTGGCCCGCTTGGAGGCCTTGGTGCGCAAAGCAGGTGAGCAGCAGGAAACAGCCTCCCGGGAGATAGTCAAGGAGCCTGCGAGGGCAGGAGACAGAGAGCCCGAGTGGCTAGAAGAGCAACAGGGGCATCAGTTCTGCAGCACACAGGCTGCGCTACAGGCTATGGAGCGGGAGGCAGAGCAGATGGGCAATGAGCTGGAGCGGCTGCGGGCCGCACTGATGGAGAGCCAGGGGCGGCAGCAGGAGGAGCGTGGGCAGCAGGAGAGGGAGGTGGCGCGGCTGACCCAGGAGCGGGGCCGGGCCCAAGCTGATCTTGCCCTGGAGAAGGCGGCCAAAGCAGAGCTGGAGATGCGGCTGCAGAACGCCCTCAATGAGCAGCGTGTGGAGTTTGCTACCCTGCAAGAGGCACTGGCCCATGCCCTGACGGAAAAGGAAGGCAAGGACCAGGAGTTGGCCAAGCTTCGTGGCCTGGAGGCAGCCCAGATGAAAGAGCTGGAGGAGCTTCGGCAAACCATGAAGCAACTGAAGGAACAGCTGGCTAAGAAAGAAAAGGAGCACACATCTGGTTCGGGAGTCCAGTCTGAGGCTGCTGGCAGGACAGAGCCAACAGGCCCCAAGCTGGAGGCGCTGCGAGCAGAGGTGATTAAGCTGGAGGAGCAGTGCCAGCAGCAGCAGAAACAGGTCGACAGCCTGGAATGCAGCCTCAAGGTTGAGCGGGCCTCCCGGGCTGAGTGTGACAATGCTCTGGAGACTCTGCAGGGCCAGTTAGAGGAGAAGGCCAAGGAGCTGGGACACAGTCAGAGCGCCTTAGCCTCGGCCCAGAGAGAACTGGCTGCCCTCCACACCAAGGCACAAGACCACAGCAAGGCTGAGGATGAGTGGAAGGTCCAGGTGGCCCGGGGCCGGCAGGAGGCTGAGAGGAAAAATAGCCTCATCAGCAGCTTGGAGGAGGAGGTGTCCATCCTGAATCGCCAGGTCCTGGAGAAAGAAGGGGAGAGCAAGGAGTTGAAGCGGCTGGTGATGGCCGAGTCAGAGAAGAGCAAGAAGCTGGAGGAGAGGCTGCACCTGCTCCAGGCAGAGACAGCTAGCAACAGTGCCAGAGCTGCAGAACGCAGCTCTGCCCTGCGGGAGGAGGTGCGGAGCCTCCGGGAGGAGGCCGAGAAACAGCGGGTGGCTTCAGAGAACCTGCGGCAGGAGCTGACCTCACAAGCTGAGCGTGCAGAGGAGCTGGGCCAAGAATTGAAGGCGTGGCAGGAGAAGTTCTTCCAGAAAGAACAGGCCCTCTCCGCCCTGCAGCTCGAGCACACCAGCACACAGGCCCTGGTGAGTGAGCTGCTGCCTGCTAAGCACCTCTGCCAGCAGCTCCAGGCCGAGCAGGCTGCTGCTGAGAAGCGCCACCGCGAGGAGCTGGAGCAGAGCAAGCAGGCAGCTGGGGGGCTGCGGGCAGAACTGCTGCGGGCCCAGCGGGAGCTTGGGGAGCTGATTCCTCTTCGACAGAAGGTGGCAGAGCAGGAGCGAACAGCTCAGCAGCTGCGGGCAGAGAAGGCCAGCTATGCAGAACAGCTGAGCATGCTGAAGAAAGCACATGGCCTGCTGGCAGAGGAGAACCGAGGGCTGGGTGAGCGGGCCAACCTTGGCCGGCAATTTTTGGAAGTGGAGCTGGACCAGGCCCGGGAGAAGTATGTCCAAGAGTTGGCAGCCGTGCGTGCTGATGCTGAGACCAGTCTGGCTGAGGTGCAGCGGGAAGCACAGAGCACTGCGCGGGAGCTGGAGGTGATGACTGCCAAGTATGAGGGTGCCAAGGTCAAGGTCCTGGAGGAGAGGCAGCGGTTCCAGGAAGAGAGGCAGAAACTCACTGCCCAGGTAAGGTACTCAGCCCAACCACTGCCCCAAAGATCAGGAGCTGAGAGTGCGGGGACATCCATCCTCTGTGTTCCAGGGCCTCTGGCTCCTACACTGGAGTGTCTTGCTTTTCCTCATTGACTGGGTGGCAGAAAAGGAGAGGTGGCTGGTGGAGTTCAAGTCTGTTGCCCCTGTCATCCTCAAGAAAATATCAGTGGCCTCCCCTCCCCTGAAGGCTCTGTCACTAGAGAGTCAAGTTGAGATTACCACCAGCCCGTTCCAGAGGCACACTTGCACTGGATGCCTCAGGAGCTGCCAGGGACTAGAATAAGCCTAACTGGCATTTTTAAACGTACTGTCAATCTAGCTCCTTGGGGGAGAGTATCAGGGCCTCAGTGAGGTGAGCCTGGCAGCAGGGCTGGTGCCTGTTTGGCCCCATCTCACTCTGTCTCCGTTGCTCCTCCCCCATGTACAGGTGGAGCAGCTAGAGATATTTCAGAGAGAGCAAACTAAGCAGGTAATGCCTGGGGTCCTCGCTAAATGCTGGCTGCTTAAACGGTGACCAGTCTCAGTGCATGAGCCCGGCTGCAGCTTGCCTCCACCAGCTCCTGTTGTGAACTGTTTGTGAAGGGGGCAGGGTCAAGCCATGGAATCCAGGCCCAGGCTGCCCAGGAGTGCGGTGTTCTGGGCTCTCTCTCGGGCCTCATCCCACCCGTCCCAGGTCGGCCTCTCCACCCTTCTGCACCTTCTCTCATCTGCCTGTCAGGGACAAGGGGTGGCACTGGCTTCATCTTTCCCACACCTGAACCAATGACGGACACAGTCCTTGGGATTCCCAAACTTCCCAAGTCCTGTGACCAGTTAAGAATACTCCACTAAGAGGAACAGCAGAATTACCTGTGGGCCTTGTTTAACCTGGTACCCTTTTGCCCAGAGTATGGCTTTATGGAAGCCTTGAAGGTGATAAGCAAGGCAGCCCCCACGGGTTAGGATTATAGGCTCAAGACACTTGCCCATCACTTTCTGGGGCTCTAACTCTGAGCACAGCATAGAGATGTCTGGAGCAGGAAGGGCCTACACCAGATGGGGACGGGGAAGTGGGAGTCACATGGTCTGGCTGCCTCTTTCTCATGGGGATCTCTGTGTTGCCTGAGACATCGAGGCTGTTGAGCTGGCGTTAGTGAGAGCACCCTTTCTCCATCATTCTCCTACCCAGCCACCCCAGGACTGCTGAAAAATTGGGCACTCCTCTTCCTCTAAGGAGCCTGAGATAATGGGGGACAATCAAAGTGAACAGCAAACAGTTGGCAATGGAGCCCTTGCCTCTCCCCTGTGCTGCCCAGTCATGCTTGAACTCCCAGAATGCTTAGAGCAGCCAGGGATGCGTGGGGCTATATTCTCCCTCTTCCCCTACCTCCCTGTGCTCTTCCTCTGTGGGAGTGGGGTGGGCTTTGGAGTACGTGTGCTGCCCCTGCTCTTGTCTTCCAGCAATCTGTTCCCCCAATGCTAACCACAGCAGCCACGCTGCTAGCACCAGCCCTAACGGCCTGTGGATGTTGGAAAGAGGTCTGAGCATCTGTGGGCTTGGGCTTTGGCAGTTTCTGGGAGGGAAGTATGGGAATTGATTATGTCTGCTAGAATTACAGACTAGAATCTGGGAAGGTTGCCACTGTGGAGTGGTGGCAGCAGCAGGGTGGTGGTGGGGGTGACACGGGTCGGGCAGGCCTCTGTCTCTGCAGGCTAAGGGTAGAGACGAATATGGACAGGTGGCCCTAGCAACATCTATGTTAGGTCGCCTCATTCAGGCCCTGCCAACCAGCCTGGGCAGCAGGCTGTTCCCTAATAGAGGCCAGAAAAAGGGCCTGAGTTTCTTCTAGGAACACTAAGGATCCTGGTCTGGGAAACCCCTGAGTCTCCTGTCCTCCTCTTCCCTCCCCAGGTGGAAGAACTGAGTAAGAAACTGGCTGACTCTGACCAAGCCAGCAAGGTGCAGCAGCAGAAGCTGAAGGTGGGACAGCTAGGGGAATGGGTCTGGCCTCTGGACGGGGGAGGGAAGCTCATCTCTAAGCCCTTGGGCTGTGGTGGGTGTCAGGGCAGAGGAGGGGCACCCTGCATTCCAGGCAGCCCTCCCGGGAGGCCTATGACTTAGGAGCTCATGTGTGTGTCTTCTGGAAGCTCTCAAGAGACAACCAGGGTGGTTCCCATCTCTCGACTGTCCCTGTCCACTACAGCAGCTACTAGTCATGTGTGGTTAAATTTATTAAATCCAGTTCTTCAGACACACTAGCTACATTGCCCCTGCTCAGCAGCTACATGTGGTTAGTGGCCGCTGTACTGGACAGCAGATACATAACATTCCACTACTGCATAAAGTTCTGTTGGACAATGTAAGTGTAGATAGTCTGCGCTGAAGGAACAAGTGTCACCAGTGTTGAATGTTACGATGCAGTTTAATAACATTCCTAATGCTTTCAACTATGTCACCTTCTTTGGTTTAATACTTGCTTTTTGCAATTCTAGGCTTCACAGCCTTTAATCAGGGGCAAAGGAACTGGGCACCAGTGGCATTGGGACTCACTAAAGCCCTGGTGGGTCCTAGGAGTTGGTGGGAGCTCAGAGGTTCATTTCTGCTCACCTTCCATACCATGGTGCCACACCATGTCTGATTGCAATAAACACGTTTATTCTGCTCCTTATGGGGCCTATCCTGTGCTGGGAGAGGCAAAGGTGGGATGCTTCTATACAGTATTGACAGCAGAGCACTTGCTTGCCTTGCAGATTGACAGAGAATCAAGCCCTGCTCTTAAGGAGTTATGGTCTGGACAGAAGGCAGTGTAGGGATCATAAATAAGCCTCCATGGGCTTTTTTTTTTTTTTAAACTTACTCTGCCGTTAAGTCATTGTTACCCTGGTCAGTTTCCTCCTTTGAAAAGGGGATAAAGTGACTTCTCAGAGTGGCTTTGAGGAGAAACAAGTTCCTGTCCTCAGAGAGCTCACATGCCAAGTGCCTCACTCCAGGGTCTGCACCTGGGTGTTCACCCAGGGATCAGTTCTTGCCCTCTTAGGGGAGATTGTATGTGCATGCATGCAAAGAGCATGAGACACTGTGTCTGGTCTCAAGGCAAAGATAGGGCAGGAGCTGGTCAGGGAAAGGCTGCTATGGATGTGGATTGAAGGGTATGTGGGCTTCAGGTTCAGTAGGCTGTAGTTGGGCAGAACTGTAGTTGGGGTGGGGGAGTTTTGTCCATTTCCTAAGAAAGTGCAGGAGTCTAAAGCACCTGTGGAGCCCCAGTGGCTGGTGCAGATGAGTAGACTTGGGTGACCAGACCAGCTTTCCTGAGTGGCCTTTCTTCTCAGGCTGTCCAGGCTCAGGGAGGAGAGAGCCAGCAGGAGGCCCAGCGCCTCCAGGCCCAGCTGAATGAACTACAAGCCCATTTGAGCCAGAAGGAGCAGGCAGCTGAGCACTATAAGCTGCAGGTGAGGAGCCCAGCCCAGGCCCATGCCACCTTCTTCCTGTCCTCCAGCCTCTGCCCCACCCACCCACACTATCTGCCCACAGATGGAGAAAGCCAAGACCCATTATGATGCCAAGAAGCAACAGAACCAAGAGCTGCAGGAGCAGCTGCGGAGCCTGGAGCAGCTGCAGAAGGAAAACAAAGAGCTGCGGGCTGAAGCCGAACGGCTGGGCCATGAGCTACAGCAGGCTGGGCTGAAGACCAAAGAGGCTGAACAGACTTGCCGCCACCTTACTGCCCAGGTGCGCAGCCTGGAGGCACAGGTAAGAATCTCACTGGCAGACTCACCTCACCTCTGTGCCCTCTTCTCCTAGGCCACTGCTGCCTTAGGCTTTTCTTCACTGTCTCCCTGGCCCAATCCTTCTCAGGTTGCCCACGCAGACCAGCAGCTTCGAGACCTGGGCAAATTCCAGGTGGCAACTGATGCTTTAAAGAGCCGTGAACCCCAGGCCAAGCCCCAGCTGGACTTGAGTATTGACAGCCTGGATCTGAGCTGCGAGGAGGGGACCCCACTCAGTATCACCAGGTCAGGAGGCACCCTTCCTCCCTATGTCTGTTGTTTTATAGAGTGAGTGCCTACTGTTGACCAGGCTGTATCCTAGTGAGATAAATAAGATAAGATCTAAATTTATTCTTAGAGAAGAAGAAAAACAGGAATTATGCCAGATGTCTATTTAGGGCACAGCTGGAATAAAAAGGTGGTGGTCAAGAAAGGCTTCATGGAAGCACACTACTGCTGAGTCTTGAAAGCATCACAGGTGGGTGCGCCAGGTTAACAGAGGAGAGCAGTGTGAGCAGAGGCTGTGAAAGAACCTGACCAGGCTGAGATGCGAGGCCAGGAAGGCCCAGGATCCTAGGAGCTATCTGCACTCCCCGTTGGAGACTGGCTACTAGACTTGATCCCATAGGCATTGAGAAAACCTTAGTGGCTGTAATTAAAAGGTTTAAAGGGAGGAAAAAAGGAACCTTGGAAGAATTTGAAACTGAAGAGTTCATAGTTAATTTGCATTTTAAAAAGATTATTCTAATAGCTAGTATAGAAGACTGGAAAAACATACTGGTTTTTTTTTTGAGACAGAGTTTTGCTCTTGTTACCCGTGCAATGGCACGATCTCGGCTCACCGCAACCTCTGCCTTCTGGGTTCAAGCAATTCTCCTGCCTCAGCCTCCCGAGTAGCTGGGACTACAGGCACGCACCACCATGCCCAGCTAATTTTTTGTATTTTTAGTAGAGATGGGGTTTCACCTTGTTGACCAGGATGGTCTCGATCTCTTGACTTTGTGATCTACCCACCTCAGCCTCCCAAAGTGCTGGGATTATAGGCGTGAGCCACTGCGCCCAGCCAGAACATACTGTTTTTAATTAAACACTTATATTGTACTTACTTTGGTGCTAGACATAAAGCACTGATAACAATTACACCTAATTTATCCCCCAATAACCCTCTGTGGTAGGTTTATTATCTCCTTTAACAGATGAATATGGGGCATAGAGGGCCAGTCACTTGCCCAGGATCCCCCAGTGGTAGAGCTGGGGTTTGACCCTAGGAAGCCTGGCCTGAGCCCTTGCTTGTCACCACTCTCCTGCCTCTCAGTGCCATGGTGCGTCTAGGTGAGAGAAGATGAGGCAGACCAGGGAAAGGACATGAGCATGCAGGGGGTATGGTTAGGAGATCTGTTCAGGAAGCTTGGTAATTGGGTTTGCCAAGTGGGACAACATGGATTATACCCATTTTCATGGCTTGGGGGCCTGGGTGGACAGTGCTCCTACTCACTGAAATGGGAGATTCAGGAAGAAGAAGACATGTGGGCTTAGATTGGGACATGTTTGCTGTGGAGCAGCCATGGGCATCTGGTAGGGATGGAACATCGGGTCTGGGTGTTGCCACTATGAGGAGGTATTAGGAAAAGCCAGGGGAGTGGACTGAAAGAAGGGTCTAGGTCAATGGTTTTCCTTGGTACCTCTGAAAAATCAGAGAGATGGGCTGCTTGACCTCATCTGCTTGTAGTAAGTATGGGAAATGGTTCCTTTAGAGCAAAGGGCTGGACAAAATGACTTTAGTCCAAAGGACTGTTCCTCATCAGGTTTCCTTTCCACAGCAAGCTGCCTCGTACCCAGCCAGACGGCACCAGTGTCCCTGGAGAACCAGCCTCACCCGTCTCCCAGCGCCTGCCACACAAGGTAGAATCCCTGGAGAGTCTCTACTTCACACCCATCCCTGCTCGGAATCAGGCCCCCCTGGAGAGCAGCCTGGACTCCCTAGGAGACGTCTTCCTGGACTCGGGTCGTAAGACCCGCTCCGCTCGTCGGCGCACCACACAGATCATCAACATCACCATGACCAAGGTCAGGCTGCCAGAATGGGGGATAGGGGCTGCAGGGTCGCAATTCCCACTTCCTCTCAAGGGTGTCTGCATGAGACGCTCAGTCAGGAGCAGGCAGTGATAAGCAGTCAGTCCATGTTACAGTTGGGAAAGCTGGGGTCTTAAAAAGGGCAGTGACTTGGTTAGGGCCTCTTCTCAAGAAAAGGTCAGGGCTGGGATTAGATTCCTACCTCGACTCTACATGCATTCTCTTCATGCACAGCACTGCACAGGGTGAAGGGAGAGAACATGGTAAAGCTGCAGCCCGTCCTGTGCCTCCCAGCATGCCCCATGCAGCTGAGAGGCATTGTCATTGCACAGTGGACTGCCTGCCAGGCTGCAGGCTCTTGCCTTTGTTTCACATCTTGAAGAGGTGGTTTGGGAGGAGGGGCGAGAGGCCTCTGGTACAACAGGGAGGACCTGTGTGTGTAGGGTGTCCCCTGCTACCAAGAAGTTGGGGAAGTTCTAGAAGGAAGCTTGGACTGAGGGACAGCAGAGGCTGTGGGATAAGCCTGACTAGTCAGGAGACATGGGGTCCAGCCCCAGCTCTGGTATTTCCTAGCCGTGTGATTGTGGCTAGTCACTTCATTTCTCTTTGCACTTCACCTCTAAAATGGGCTGATAAACACTCTGCATTCCCTCCCTTAAAGCACTGTGAATAGACTCGATGAAAAAAATGCACAGAAAAGAGCCTTGACAACATCAGCACCACCCTGTGAGGGCTTCTGTCAGTAAGGCCTATATCTTGCAAACAGACACGTTAAGGACCTTTGCAAAGCAGTTGGGAGGATGTGCCATGGAGTCTGGGTGCTTTGGGAGGGAACAGGAAGCTTCTTTACAGTGCCAGAGTCCACCCCACTGCAACAGATTCATTCTCTTTTCCAGAAGCTAGATGTGGAAGAGCCAGACAGCGCTAACTCATCCTTCTATAGCACGCGGTCTGGTCCTGCATCCCAGGCCGGCCTGCGAGCCACCTCCTCTACTCAGTCTCTAGCCCGCTTGGGTTCTCCCGATTATGGCAACTCAGCCCTGCTTAGCCTGCCTGGCTACCGCCCCACCACTCGCAGTTCTGCTCGTCGATCCCAAGCTGGGGTATCCAGTGGGGCCCCTCCAGGTGAGGGGACTACAGGGACTTACTATACCCAAAAATTAGACTGGAAGGTGGATCGTGGCACAGGGAAAAGAGGCAAATTTTTAAAAAATCCAAGGCTAGCCTCCTCGCTACTGCCCAGTAGCCCCCTCCTTCCTGCAGCCCCAAGGGCCTTCCTTACCTGTCCATTTCAGGGCTGGCTGTTTTGGGCACTCTTAGCCAGAGTGAACCAGGGATGCTCACTAAGGGCCTGGGATTCCCAGCACAATCTTGGGGAGTCCTCTGTACCCTTCTCAGGTGGTGATGGGCTGCTAGAAAGGTCAGGCTGGCCAGACTCTTCCTGGAGGCTCTTGCCCTTTGGGTACCAGGGAGCCCTTGGGAATCAATTCCTTATTTTGTTCCTCTGGGTGTTGGGCACTAAGCCTTAGTGGGTAAGATGTAGTAGCAGCCTCTGTGTGTGGCCTCTTCTGCCCTCTCCAGGGAGAAGGTGGTGAACAAACCCCTAGGATAGAAATAGTCTGTGTGCCTTACTCCTGCACCTGCAGCACTGAATCAGACTGGCTTAAAATTTACGGGATAGGTGACAGCAAAGGCTGGCAAGATGCCAGGGTGAGCAGGTGACCTGCCAACTTCCCTGCCCTCCACAGGAAGAAACAGCTTCTACATGGGCACTTGCCAGGATGAGCCTGAGCAGCTGGACGACTGGAACCGGATTGCAGAGCTGCAGCAGCGCAACCGAGTGTGCCCACCACACTTGAAGACCTCCTATCCCCTGGAGGCCAGGGTGAGCCCTGGGGTCACTGTGCAGGGCCTCCGATCCCTGCCCTCCCTTGAAATCTCACCTGCTGATCTAGCCTGAGCACTAAGGCCCTGGATCCCTGACTGGCTGAGGAGGGGGAGGGTGACCTCATGCTTCCAGGCAGAACAGCCAGCAGGGAGGGCATTCAGGAGTGAAGTCCCTGGGGGTGGGCAAGAGCTCGGAGAGGAATCTGATTAGGACTGCACCGCTTGTAGCCATTCACCCAGGGCGTAGGTTTAAAGTGGAACAAGGGAGGCCTCGTGAGGTAGGAAGGGTCCACCTACCCTAAGTGCCAGGTGAGTGCAGAGTCCTGGGACACCCCCAGGTCCTGCTCCATATCCAAACAGCTACAGTCCACTGACCACCTCTTCAACTAATGCAGCCTTCCCTGAGCCTGGCCACCATCTCAGATGAGGAGATGAAAACTGGCGACCCCCAGGAGACCCTGCGCCGAGCCAGCATGCAGCCAATCCAGATAGCAGAGAGCACTGGCATCACCACCCGACAGCAGCGCAAACGGGTCTCCCTAGAGCCCCACCAGGGCCCTGGCACTCCTGAGGTAGGCACAGTAGCTCCTGGGTGTTGCTCCAGCACTGTGCCCAGGTCAGGTCCAGCTCACCAAGGACTAAAGGGAGCCTTTCCTATCTCCCCCTCTCTCCAAGGGCCTAGTGCATGGATGGGAACTGCTGGGAAGGGAAGCCCTCTGGCTCAGAATTGGGCAGCAGGTTGCACAAGTTGACTTAAAAGGTCCACTCAGCTCTGTGAGAACAAGATGCCTGGCTTCAGATGTGACTCTTGCTACTGTCTGCCTAACTGTCCTCTTCCCCATAGTCTAAGAAGGCCACCAGCTGTTTTCCACGCCCCATGACTCCCCGGGACAGACATGAAGGGCGCAAACAGAGCACTACTGAGGCCCAGAAGAAAGTGGCTCCAGCTTCTACTAAACAGGTGAGGCTGGGGCGGGGGGGAATGAAGCGATGGCCTGGTGGGACCTTGCCGGCAGAGCATCGCACAGCGGGCTGGCCTGGGAAGGCCAGTCTGACAGCCTTTCCTTGCAGGCTGACCGGCGCCAGTCAATGGCCTTCAGCATCCTCAACACGCCCAAGAAGCTAGGGAACAGCCTTCTGCGGCGGGGAACCTCAAAGAAGGCCCTGTCCAAAGCTTCCCCCAACACTCGCAGTGGAACCCGCCGCTCTCCGCGCATTGCTACCACCACAGCTAGTGCTGCCACTGCTGCTGCCATTGCTGCCACCCCTCGAGCCAAGGGCAAGGTAAAGGCACTGGGGAGGGAAGCCCAATGAGAGCATAGACACCCCCCAGACCGCCCCAAGGAGCAGCATCCAAGACAGGGCTACTCTAGGCTGCTGGAGGGTGGTGGGGTAAAAGGTGTCCCTGTCCTAGTAGCTACTCGTTATCAAGGAGAGAAGACAAATGGCCCCATTCGCATGGAGAGCACCCAGAGCTGCTCAGGCATAGCCAACAACTGATAATCCGGGGGCTCACAAAGGATGGGAGCAGGAAGAGGTCTTCCAGGCCAGTGGCTGCAGGCTGGCATCCCAAGTTCTCATCTGGCCATGTGTCTGTGTCTCTTTCAGGCAAAGCACTAAACGGCTAGTACCAGAGAGTGGCCCCACCTGTGTCCCCGATGCTGACCTCACCTGGTCTTCCTTCTACTGTCCCTCTCAGTGCCTTCTCTCAGCTCCCAGGCCAACAGTAGCCAAAACCCTAGAGACAGTAATGTCTGCCTGCACCCTGGCCTGGTCCCTGGACGCCTTCTCAGAGCTGGACCAGGAAGCCTGGAGCATGGACAGTGTGGGTGCTCTCCCTACCTTGCCTCCTTTTTTCTTAGAGCAAAGTCACTTCTCCATCACGACCAGATTTGAGGCTGATGGCTGGGTCCTTGGGCCTAGCCAGTCTTCCTCTCAGCCTCTGGATCTAGAAGGGACCAGAGGAGGAGTAGGCCCTGGTTCCTGCTCTCCCGGTGGCTGGGCCTAGCAGGGGCCCTCAGTCTTGATGTCCAGGACTGGATATGGTGGGAACACCTGCCTGAGGATGCCCTTTTCCAGCACGGATGGGCCCTGTGGCTCAGGTGTGGGGTGGAGGGATAGCCTTCAGTGGCAGCTCACACCCTGCCTTCCCCAGACTTGCACTGGGGTGGGATTTGGAGTGATGGGAAGGTTTTTAAGGGCCAGGGATGGATCTTTTCTAAATGTTATTACTTGTAAATAAAGTCTATTTTTCTCCCTTGATTACTGAGTTGCCTTGATCTAAGTGGGAAAGGGTAGGGGGGAAACCTGGGTTCTTTGGAGCCTACCTTGTCCCTGCTGAGTCTTCCAGACCACCTCCTTCCTCTCATCCCTTTTCCTGGGACCACATCTTTCTTTCCAGGATTCCCACTCTCCATTACTGGCCTCTGCTCCTGGGGAACATGGGCTGTTCTCTCTCTTCTTTTTCAAGGGCCTGTGTTCCCCTGAAGCTAGTTTTGTCTTTCGCTTCTGTGTGGCAGTCCCTCTCTTCCCATACTCCCTCCTGGGACAGGCAAAGTTCCTGGGAGTGAAACTGAAGCCTAAATGAACAGATGTCAGGATACCTCCATTGAATAATCCTTTATGAGGACCCACGTGGGGATAACAGAGATACAGTGTGGATCTGAAGCAGCTGCTGCCCCCATCCCTTCCCTGGAACAGTCCATTAGAGTAAAGTGGGGGGAATACAGCATGAAGACTGAAGTCTGCAGAATAGCCAGAGCTGAAAGCGGGTGACTTCACTGAAGAGGCAGTGTTTCAACCAGGCTTGAAAGTTCCCCTGTTGGGGTGGTGAGGAAGGCGGGACCAAATGAGCAGAGGCATGGGAGTGGGAGCTGTCTGGGAAAAGCAATAGTTGGAGGCCTCCGGAAAGTCACATGGGAAATGTAGGCAGGGCCCTGGAGTGCAAGGCTAAGGCATCAACAGTCGGTTTCAGTGGTTTCTGAGCAGCAGAGCAGTGTGAGGAGCAGGACATTAGGAAGGGTGGAGAGAATGGCAGGAGGAGGAGCATTATAGGGAGGCTGTGATTTCCTAAGTAGACGGGAATGGAGTTTGAATTTGGTGAGAGAAAGAAACCAAAGCAGAGGAGAAGGGGGTGTGCTGCTTGCCCATACAGCCTGCAGGCAGTCAAGGACTGTTCACTCCAGGTAGGTAGATAGGACCCAGGCTCCGGTCAAGGTTGTGCTGCTGCTGGCCCTGGGCTGTGGCTGGAGGGCAGGGCTTCTTGGGTAGGGGGCAAGGTTGTCCTCAGGCCAGCCTAAGGAAATGAAGGCAGATGAGGATCAGGCCAAGGAAAGGAGGGACACATCTCATCACTTTGCCCCAGGCTACACCTCCCCTGTTTTAAGTTCCTTTTTGTCTCCTCAGGCTGTCCTTGAGGAATTCTGGACATTAGTTTAGAGGCTGCTCTGGCAGAGCCCACTCTTTCCTCCCCACATATGGAAACAGAGCTCCTCCTCTTCCTGGAGGCCTCTCCTTAAGCTCCTCACCCAGAGCTGGGCCAGAACGACGTAACGCTGGACAACCTGTTCGGGGTCCACGAGTACACAGGAGAAGTTGGTGCTGTGCAGGGCAGGGGTCAGCTGCTCCAGCACCAAGGTCCTGCTCAGCTGTGTACCTGTGCTCCGACGCTCCCACCTGGAGCAAAAAGGAAAGAAATGTCATGAGGACCACAGAAGGAGGCCTCCTTCCCACCCATCTGGCTGCTGCAACCCTCACCTGGTGCTGCCCTCCCACAGGCCTGGAAGGTGCTCAATGAAGGAACCATTGCCCAGCCAGTAGAGGATGCTGAAGTGGGGGAAGTGGCTGCAGGCAGTACAGGACAAGGTCAGCGTTCCATCTAGGGACACAAGCAGCAGTTAGCCCTCCTGAAGAGCAAGCCCTTTCCCTGGCCTGCTCTGCTGTGCCCTCCCTGCCAGCTCCCCCTAGGTGGGAAGGTGTGTTAAAGGGGAAGTGCAGTTGTCTCCAAGAGGCCCTAGCCCTAAATAGGGAATATGGGGAAGGGTCCTTGGTTCATGTGATGACTCCTCTTCTGAGTCTGTCTCCTCGGGATGACCTTTTCTAGTACCCAGTCTCTGTGACTCTGGAGCCCAGGTGACCGAGGCAGTGCTGGGTGGCTACTGCTCCTATGAGATGGCTAGAGGCCAGTGGGCTCTGGGTGAAGGGGCTGGCCTTGGAGTCCACTGCAATCAAGGCTCTGAGAGGTCCTGTGACCATTACTTACGTCTGAGTTCTCTGTCCTATTTGATAGGGAGCATCTTGGGAGCTGCACCAAGCCCGTACCCATGACCCTGGGTTATGGAGGGAGAATGTGGGGGTTCAGCCCAGCTGGCCCAGTTGGTGGTGCATGGCAGAAGAGGGCTAGTGCTCAGGAGTCAACCCAACCCTGGGAACCTCTGTGCCCACAGCCTACCCCCAACCACTGTGCTCCTTACTCAGTGGTAGTTCCACCTCTGGCCAGGTCACCTCCAATGCTGGACACTGCTTTGCTGCTGGGAACACTGGGGGCTGGGAGGAGCAGGGGTCCTTTGTGCTTCTAGCTGAGGCAGTGGCAGCTGTGGTGTTCTGTGAGACAGGTGTGGCTCTGTCCAGGAGAGTGATGATGTGGGCACACAGGAGCAGGACCCACAAAGGACTGGGGACTGAGGAAAGGACAGTCACAAGTCAGTGGCTGGGCTGCCTGGGAACGCTCAGCATCATGGCTTCTATCTGGAGACAGAGTGGGCTGCCCAGGTAAGGATGTACCTTCAGCCCAAAGATGTCTGGGCTCTAGCCAGGGAATCAGAGCAAAAGAGGGGCCTCTCAGCACCCACCCCTTTATTGAGTACAGAGAAGCTTTGGAATGGAGCCAGAGCCACAGCATCTGCCCAGGTTCTTAAAGCAATAGCACCAGGTGGGTTGGATGGCATTTGCCTTGGGGTGAAGGCTCCGGGTTAGCCTACCGCTCCATTCTGTTCATAGACCTCACCCTACCCTGCCTGCCCATGGGCAGCCCCAAGGCCTACCTGGTATCCACTTCTGTCGCATGGTCATGATGCTGGTAAGCTTGGCTCTCTATCTGTGACAACGTCCTCTTCTCTGGTGAAAGGTGGGGGAGGAGAATCGTAAACCACTGCCACGTTTTCTCAGTAGCTGGCTTTTCCTCCCGTAGCATAGCCTGGGGCTCTTTCAGTGACAATCCCCCCCAACCCCAGCTCTCATGACCAAAAATGGTAAGATGCTTACCTAGTCCAATCTTACCCCTTCATTAGGGAGGGCAAAACTGAGACCCAAAGAGAGAACAGGGACTCACCCAGTCACCCTCTCCAGCAACAAAGCTGCTTCTGGGAAGGGCAGGATCCCGAGCAATCCTTCTGGGAAAGTACTGCCCCCATCCTCTATTTCACTTTCACTTTTTAAACAGAATACCTTAAAAGTGAGTGTTCTCAGAAACCTTCAGCTCCCGGGACCCCTACCTCTCCAGATGATACCAGACTGGGACCTCTAATCTACCTCCATGCCACCCCAGGGTCACCTAAGGTGTGAACTAGATAGAGTCTCTCACAGATCAATTCTGTCCCAGCCAAGGGTCAGGACACTGGTATCTACCTCCCCTCTTCAGACCCAGGTCTGTTTCCATCTGAACAGGCTTCCTCCTCCGCCTTCACACTGATATTCAATGGGACAACTTTCCTGGGCACTGGGGACCCCAAGTTGGATCATTTTCACCATTTCAGGCTCAAAGCCATACCAGCCCCTCCACATCCTGGCCTTTCCCAGTCTCCCCACTCTCCCAGCCACCAGCCCCAAGGTTGGCTGCATCTCCCAGTACCCCACCCATGGATCTCTCATCCTAGCCCCTCTGGCCAGGGCTACAGGTCTAGGTTCACTAGTATTCCCAGATTCCTCCTACCTGGTTCCCAAGAGGTCCTGAAGAGCCTGCCTTTCCAGAAGCTCCCCTCTGTGAGCTCCAAGACTCAAGCTGGCTGTGTCTAGCTGCGTGTGAACCCACCACAGGAAACACACCGGAAGCACTTTCCCCTTGTCTGTAGAACTCACACAGCCAACCCAGGAACTGACACACAGGCTCGAGAGCTGACCCCCAACAGGAGGTAGATAGGAGCTGTGTGTCTGAGGCTTGTGACTCCTGTAATCAAGAGGGTGTGAGGGCTGGTGACAGAGCCAGGGAGGCCCCCAGCTGGGACTGCATCAGGAACACAGTCAGTTGTGATCTCCTATGTCTAAATTAGGAATATGGCTTTTCCACAAGAAAACAACAGGAGACTACAAGTCGCATCTTGTAGGTGTGAAGTTCAAGCTTTTCCTCCTCTCAATTCCTCCCTCTACCTCCTGCCCCAGGGGCTTCTAATACTATGATGTAAGGGAAATTCCTCCCAGGAACACCAGCATCTCCAGGAGTTAGGTCAGGAGGCAAGGCTGCCTGGGGTTTCTGAAAGATACAGTCCAGTGGGGGATGGTAGGGGCAGATGACAGGAGTCTGCCTTAGTGTAACCAAGACCAGAGTTGGGCAAAGGGAAAGTTATGGGACTCAGGACTGTTATGAGTGAAAAAAGAGCTTTGCACAGCCTGGTCTCGGCTTCACACCTGCGCCTGACATCGGGGTGGGAGAAAAAATGAAAGGAAGTGATCCCTGAGTCTTTTGACCAGCCACATTCCCCTCTCTGAGGAGAGGAACAGCCCCAGAGGAGGCATAAGCAGCAGGGCCTCATGGGAAGCCACGGCTGGGGAAGAGAAGCCGAGGCTGAGTACGTAGCCCTGAGGAAGGCAGGTGGTGGCAGGACACTGGCCTCAGGCAGTGAGAACATGGAGCAACCTCAGTCTGAAAGCAGGCCCAGTGATGCCCCAGGCCCTCTTAGGCCACAGCATGGGAGCCCAGCATTCTACCACTCCTACAGATGTCGGCAGGGGAACAGCAGGGAACAGCAGAAAGGCAAGGCCAACCACCCCCAGACCCTCAGGTCTCAGATGGGGGTTAGCAAAGGCAGGACACGCCTGGAGACCCCAGAGAGAGGTGGGAAGAAGAAAGCAAGATAAATGTTCAGCTTTCCAACCCAGCTCATGGAGCTTTATTCAGATGGGAGTGACAACATCCTGCTTGGTTCTTGCTGCCCTTGAAGAAGCAGGTGCTACTGGGTCTATTCCCTAGAAACCCAATACCAAAGGCCCATGTTTGACCTCCCACTTTATTCAAGTCACCAAGGACCAGGACTGGAGCCTTCCTAGAA